TTCCTTTCCTTTAAAAGACAATAATCCTTTCTCACTTATCATCAGCTCTGCAGACTGGTTGGTATATTATGGCTGCTTTTGGGAAAAAAAACACAAAGTAACAACCACTAACTTGCCAAAGAATTTGAAGAGATCGATAGTTAGACATTTTTATTTTGTGGAGAATCAGAAATGAGAAGCAGCACGGTAGTACAGTTAAAAATACATTTATATACTACTGTATGTTTCTAGTTTTGGTACAATTTAAATGTATGGTGTTCAAATGTTGGCACTTTTATAGACTTCCAACTGAGAACAAACTGTGTTTTGCATAGTCCAATGTGTGCAGATTGAAGTGGTTCCATTCCAACTGTAAGACAGCTGCACTTATCCAAACACCCTCTAAAAAAAGCTGCATGTATTTTGTGTTAGCATGGATCAGTTGGATTTCCTGTCTTTTGTGGCTTTGAACCAAATGGAACTGTTTTCACTTACTAAAACAGGATTTCCCATAACTAATATATAAGGTTTCTAATCAGACTTAAGGTTTGTCCCATCTCCATCTGTTTTAGATTTCCTTGGAGTCATCGTGGATCACAGATATAAAGGGGATCAGTGATTGGCGGGGGGTGAAAATCTAACAAAAGCGACATTGCAGAGCTCAGCAGTATCCGCATAACTCGAACTTCCCTGAAGCACAGTGTTTTATTGTGATTGGAGGGTATAACTGCTAAACAGCCCTATAACCATAATTCTGTTTAGTTTTGACAAACGCTCAGTATAAATATACACTAATAAACAACACTAAATTCTTGTCCCATGCTTTCACAGCTGTGTTCAAAAGAGCACACAAAATAGTAAATGCGTGCCAACTGTAAAATCACACTGCTTTATGTGAGTCAACCTGCAGAGTTTTATCTCTGGCATCACCCCATATTTCAGTGATGTCTAATTGAAACACACAGTAAAAGCATGACTATTCACTTCCCTTGCCTCATTACCTTGTCTCATAGCTTCTCTCCATCCTGCCCTCCCATCCACCTGCACATTCTAACGAGGTGATCGCAGCCCTCAAATACCAGACTGTGATCGCATCGCATGCCTGCCCCATGTGTCCACTTTCCTCTCTTTGTTAGCCCACAGCCTCGCACACACATGGAGGGCCCGGGCTGTTTCCTGCAGGCGAACGCAGGGAGGTGTGTTTCTAATTATAAACACGATGCAGGGTTCAGCACACTCTCTGCAGGCAGGCCAACACAGTCACCAGGATTTATGGTACCAAGGTCTAGGCTTCCACCCTGGAAACCCACCAGAGACGCAAAGCTGTTCACTTTCTGCGGCTGTAAATCAGAGCAGAAGTAGCTGCCAGTCTATCGCAAGCCGATAGCGCTGTATCCTGCAGGAGGTGAGAAAACAAATCCGCTCCTTGCACTCTTGTTAGATAAATGTGGCACTTGAATGCCTCTATTCCTGTTGGCTTCTCAAATATTAAACTTTATCTTTAGTGATCAATCTCACATAATGTTGCTGTTGGCTATACTCCTGTCCATACCATGCCCAAGTCCTGCATAGAAAAAGACGGCAAAATGAATGACAGTTTCAATCAGCAGGTACAGAGAGCCCAGCAATGTCACTCAGTGGCTTCATAATAAATGATCCGTGCAGAACAGCTGTCAATGTCTGAGCGGTTAAGGTGATCAATTGGAAGTGTTCTTAAAAAAGTGGACTGGGCTGTAAATTAAGTGCAGTTCCCTTTATGACAAAAATAGTTGAGTCAAAAAATAATGACCCATTGCTTGAGCCCAATCAGTGTGATAATACATTTGTCCTTGACATACTTGTTAATGAAAAATCTGGACTTATTATCAAAAGATGTTTCATTTTCAGCATATCCCTCCATCTAATCAAATGACAGCCTCAGTAAAGGTATAGTGCAACATTTGAGAAGATTCGTACCATTCTTATGTTTGGGCGCTGGGTAAGAAGCTAGAGCCGGGGGAGACAATTAGCTTAGCTTAGCATCAGGCTAGAAGATACGGGAAAACGCTAGCCTTGCTTTCTCCATTCAAAAATATATACTAGCATCTAAATACTACTCATGTATTTTGTTTTTATTCCCGTCGTAATGTAAAAACAACATATTGTGGTTTTACAGAGAGTTACATGCTGAAACTATGTTTAGTGCATTTTAGGATAGTTGGTAGGCTGGCTGTTTCCCACTGCTTCCACTCTTTATGCTAAGCTAAGCTAACCGCCTCCTGGCTTTAACCATGGAAACCCATCATTGTGGGAAGATCTGGGTAATTTTAACCAAGGCATAATGAATCTGACTCTGGATTATTTTAGCCTTTTTATTATTGAAAAGAAGAGGAAGTCCTTCACAGACAGGAAGGTTTCCCTTTTGTGCAATAAAGTTCCGAAATATTGTGCCAAGAACAAACTGGAATGTGGTAAACAATGTTCGGGAACAAACTGCTCGCAAGATGGATGTGTGATTACCAGGATCTAGCATGGCTGGACAATTGATCTTTGCAGAGTCATGTAACCCCTAGGGAGCAATAACCTAGTAGTTAAGCACTACTAGGGAGTGACACAAACATGATGGTATCCAGGTTGCACTGTGATAAATCCCTCTTTGGCAAAACACAAGCAGTCGGGCATACTTCAGAGTATTACACATCAGTTCTAAAAACACTGCATGTGCCTTCCTATATATTGTTAATGAGTCAGAGGAATGCAGCCAAAATCTTCATAAACACAGGAAATTGTATTGAATATAAAAGGAGAATCACTCCAGCAGGGATGGAGTCGAGGTCAATGCAATATTGTTGATCATAGGAAGCTCGTCTCGGTTATTAACAATGACAAAAACAAACAGAGGTGGGTCTGCAGTTGGACGTTTCGGAGCAGGACAGCAACAAGTAAGTGGGGTTTTCCTTCAGTGGAGCAGGACTCTCCAGGGCCCTTCAAGACATGAAAGAAGCCCTCCGGGCTGCCAGAATCCCTTTCAATGCACGGAGGTTTTGCAGAGGAAGAAACTCCAATGCAGGACCTTTGTTCCTTTGTTCATGTTCTCAAGTAATCTTTTGGGAGCCCAGGTGGACTGAGGGTGTTTTTTTTTATCTAGGGTGTGACGGCAACCACACAACAACATCCAGTTCAATCCCTATCTGTTGGACATTTCACACTGAGCAGATGTATAGATTAAAAGAAAGCAGTTATGCAAACAGACAAAAACAAACCATTCAAATGATGAGATGTAAAGTGTAAACCATACAGTTCCCATGCATTGTCAGCTGGTGCCAGATCAGGAAGCGTGTCTGTTTTTGCATCCGTGCCATCACGCAGAAGAGGGACTGAAAAGCAAAGAATGCAGTGATACAACTTCAATAGCAGATGGTTATGAGGTTTAACGGTGACAGATGATGGTGGTTCTTGCGGTGCCTGGCCATGTTACATGTTGTTTCGCCACATAATATTCATATATCAGGCTAGAGGAGAAATACAGCAGGTACTGGATAATAGACACCAGTTAATTTTATAAAATGAACCAACAGCACATCTGCATCGCTGACCTGGGTCATTCTGCCCAGGTGCTAAAAAAAATGTAATGAGCATCGAGTGCTGCAGGAATGAATTGTGAAAGCGTTGTTTTTTTGAATGGGATTTTGGTTAGATGGCTGAAATAAATCTGTGGTTAACACAGAAGGGATTTTAACATCTGGTTCTACGATATATAAAACATGTCTGTAAATACCCCCCGTCATTTTGGATCTTTTACGGGTCTTAAAAAAGTTGGTTGCTGACAAGTGACTAAATGAAACTGCAGCGCATTAGCTTTTTACTTCTGATGATTGTTGTTGCGAAATCAGACATATCAATAAAATCAAAAAGACATTTAAACTGTACATATTGTATGAAGACACAACACACTCACAAGTTTCACATGCATGTACTGTATTTCACATACTGTACATGAACATGTACCTGTTTGTTTGTCTGTCTTTTACCAGGATTTCTCAAAAACTAATTAGACTCCAATGACATTTGTCAGGCGGTGAACAAGTGATCTTTGATGGGATAGCACCACCATGTGGACATTTATATAACACATTCAATTTTGGGTTTGTAACTCCTGAAACGTGAGGTTGAAAATCAAACTTTGTTTTTCCATGAATGGGGTCTGGTTGTTAATGGTTAATATTGTGTGGCATCTTTCAAGTTATAATGATGGGTACGTTTTTGGGTATCACTTTCTGATGAGTCAGCCGTTTTTAAAGGGTTTATAGGCATTAATGCGAGGCTTTATTGATGGTAAATAAATCATGTACCAATGCTTTATGGATCACTTACTAGCCATTAATGAGAATACCTGTTGGGTTGCCAGGTTGTGGAAATCCTCCATCATCAAATCTGCCTTGTATTTTTTTAGCTATGTCTTCAACAGAAAGATGAGTGTTTGACCACTTGCCATGTGTAAAAAGGGTTGCAGGGCATCTACAACAAAATCAATTTATTTATAATAATTTCAACAATAAAAAAACATTTACAACTGAAAAATGAATGTGTCACTGTGTCAACCATGTAACCATACTTGTAAATGGTAAATGGACCGTACTTGTATAGCTCTTGTCTTCCGACCACTCAAAGCCATTTAATTAATCACACACTCATAAGTTAAAGGTAACTCTCCGATTGCTCGAAAGGTAACTCGTTGTCGGCAGGATTCGAACCTGCGCGGGGAGACCCCAATGGATTTCTAGTCCATCGCCTTAACCACTCGGCCACGACAACTGAGTGCATGGTAAAGGTCATCAGAAATTGAAAGATTCTACTAAAAAGATGACTCACTACTTACTCAAAGATCTCCAGGGAGCTCATCTTGTATCCAAATGGATTTTTTATTTTTATTTTCGTCTTAGTAAAAGCTATTACACGACACAAGCACGTATATAAGTATACGTACCGGTGTGAATATCATTTTAAAATCTTCTCTGTGATGGTATTACCAAATGCCCCATTCTACATGTAATGTAGATCAGTCAGTGTTCACACCTGAATCGCTAACAGTGTTTGAAATAAATGTGCTTCATTACTCACCTTGAAATAGTTTTTAATAAAGGAATTTCTGTGTACTTTTGTCTGTCGTTGTTTTAAGATGCAACACCAATATTTCTGTTTGTAAAACATTCGGACAACCTCACTTTTACCAAGACTTTGACTTTATTTGACTTTTTTTCTCCTCGACACATTAACACCCTGGTTACAGACCAAAGTAATCCGAGTACTCTTAACACATTACTGCCAACAGTGGTCACTTACCACTCAGGCCTGCAAATATGTACCTGTACTTTCCAACCACAAGCTTCATTAAATAATGAATTAGCTCGTTATTCATGGTTGACGACTGCTAACATATCTCAGCCAAAGTTTACACTGGCGACAGTCTTCTGTATAATCTTATTTTTCACCGGGAACAGATCCTTCACATTATAACAAGTTATACTGTATTTTTAGGATAATTCACTGTTGACTATTATTGTCCCAATCTGTACAATTTAAACAAACTATCATTTTTAAGTTCCAAACACCTTCTCGAAAGCCTGTTTGTCCACCACACGTCCAAAATGAGTGGAGAAATACAGCGTCTGTGGAGTGCTGAATCTCTTAAGTTTCACTATTGTCTCGTTTACGGAGTCGCCTGTATCCCCGATGGTCATAACATCCGACACAGGCAGGTAGAGATCATGGCGCCTGCCCCAGAAGGTGAGGTGGGACACTTTGAGGGTGGTCTGGGACGGGTCCAGGTACATCATCCCCACAATCCTCCTGAAGAAGTGACTGGCAGTGTACAGCATGACAGCAGCAAACAGCGCTAAACCCGTTGCGTAGCTGACAAGAGAGAGGGGGACGTCTCCCTGGAGGTAGAGGATGTACACTGGGGGCAAGATGACCCCGGTGATTGCAGTTTGGAGCAGTTTCAGCCTGGACACAGCTCTGAGGAGCTTAATGTGCGGCAGGGTGTAAATCATAGTGTACTTGTTTGCGGAAGAGTCAGAGTACCCGACCAGGGCTGTGATTTTAGGTATAAGTGGTCCCCGGAAGCTCTGCTGGATGGGTGTCTGACCTGGTGAATGAGGCTGCACGCCATGCGTTATCCGACCTGTAAGTCGACATGATCCTCTGGAACAGGACAGGATGTTTGAAGTAAACCTGCGCAGCAGCACTGACCTCATCTGTTGAAAAATAACAGATGCATTTGACACTTAAGAGCCAAAACTAGTAGTACATTAATTGATTAAAAACTTTTATAAATCGATTAATATAATTTCTTAAGCAAAAATGCAACACATCACTGGTTTCAGAATGACAAATATGAACAAAAACAATGCAAGCAATGATTGGCATTGTTTTTTTTTAAATATATTCTGGCATATTTTATAGACCAAACAATTCATATTCAGCAGATTAATTGACAGTGAAAATAAGTTGCAACCTTGCACATAATTATACAAAGTAATGCAATACATCAACACAAATATAACTCACTAGCTAACAGTTGAGAGAACAAAATACAAACATTAGTAACAGGGCTATTTGATTGCATTACATTACATTACACAGGTGTTCCTGTTATTTTGGCCACCCTAATGAGCGTCATCATCGTGCTGCGGTTGCATTTTTGTGACGTTGATGTATCGCGACTTTTCAATTCCGGTTCAGTCCTCAAGGAGAAATAGCAGCCAGTTGAATAAAAGTATGAACAAATTACCATGAGCAATAAAGGTATATGCATATGTTTTGTTTTGATTAGCTTTATTATTAGAAGTGAGGCAGACAGAGCTAAATAATGTTGTAGGAAAACATGTAATTAAACAAATTAGAGATACATACTCCTGACCAAGCTGTCATACATTAGCAGTGGTTAGCTCATGCGGCTAATGATTCAACATTCATGATATTTTCCTGCTCTCTTGCAAAACAATGAAAGTAATATAAGACTTTATGAGAGAAGGAGGCTCACCATGACCGACGACAGGCTTAATGGAAGATAAAGAAACATAGAAACGCGATTCTTCTTTTAAGAAATTGGAGATATACAAGCTGTTAGCTAACATGACGGAAACACTCTGACCCGGATGTACTCAACAGGCGTTTTTGTGTTTTGTGTGCCCTCTTACGGGTAAATTGTAAACTATCACTTCAGAGTAAAATACATTTAATTGAGATCTTAAGAACCCAAAACTGTACATTCTGCTTTAATAGTAACGCAGCTTGCGGAAGAGACACGTAACTTGCGGCAGTTGTCATATCCGCTTTAACGTGTTCCTGTTTCTCGCGTATCGTTACTGACGACCAGCTGCAGGGTTTCTCCCGGTGCTAACGTGAAGTGTTTTGTTGATCTGTCTGAGTAACCGACATGTTCACTTGCTAGCAAGGCGGAGCATGACCGTATCTCGGATAGGGCGTTTGAAGAAAGTAAAGCTAGCAGGACGGGTAGCTAACGTCAGCTAACATTAAACTGACGGGCGGCGCGTTTGCTCGCGTCACTTCCTGCCCCTTTGACACACTCGAGTCAGAAAGGCAAAAGGGGACAACAATGCTGCAGCTAGGAGATGAAGTCACCCTATACTCGGTCGTCTTCGTGCTGGTCCTGCTGGGGACCCGCAGCCCGGTGTGGACAACCGCCCTCACCGCCTCGCTCTACCTCTTTCTGGTCATGTTCCGGTTCCCCCAGGTACCAACCAGCCGAGCCCGGCAGGTGCTGCACCCAGTGGGTTCCGGCAATGTGTCGGTGGTCGCTCACCGGTGCGGTGGGCACGACGCACCGGAGAACACAATCGTAGCCATCCGGGAGGTGAGAGGAGGGTGGAAGAGATTTGGGTGTCCTATCAGGTCCTACCGTGTGTTATCAGTGGTGACAAGGTGCATAAACCACTGGAGACTGAAATTACATATCTTTACCCCTGACTGACTATAGATGAACAGATGGCATGGAGTAACATTTGTACAATGAGAACATATAGGGATCAGGATTTAGCTTTGCATCAGGATATCATGTCCATCTTTTACTACTGGTAACAGACATTGCTAACATTCAGCACTACCCTTTATCCACACTTCATTGTATGCCAGTAGTGTGAAGTGTGTGACGGTGAGAAACAAATACTCCTACAATACTTGGCGTCCAACACTTTTTATTTACGTGTTCTTCTCTAGTCCAGTAAGAATGGGGCGACAGGCGTGGAGTTGGACCTGGAGTTCTCAGCAGACAGTGTCCCAATACTGATGCATGACGAGACTGTGGACCGGACCACCAACGGGTCGGGACCACTCAGCCAGATGAGACTGTCCGATTTGGGTAAACTGGACGCAGCTGCTAAACATCGACTCAGGTAAGACGGACAGAAAAATATAGCTTGGGATTCACACAACAAGCATGCAGACAGACGGGCAGACATTTCACTTTTCATGGTATTTTTTGCAGCTGATGCTTTAGATTTAAGATTATAACGTCACTGTTTTTTGCAGGCAGCATGTCGTTTAGATAAGAAGCTGCATGCAATCTATTAATCCTTGTTTTGTCAGGTGCATTTCATCATAATCCAGGCCCAGAAAAGCTAAGTGTAGTGTTTCCCATATAAACAGTACATCTGTTTGAAAAGCACTGACGCATTTGTGTCCTCGGTCACCAGGGACAAGTTTGCTGGAGAGAAGATCCCAACTTTAGAGCAGGCGGTGGAGGAATGCATCAAACTGCAGCTCACCATCTACTTTGATGTCAAAGGTCATCCAGATGAGGTGCAGCCAACAATTGTTTGCAATCCGTCTGTCGTACTAGTTGATTCAATTGATTTGTGCCTGGTCAGCATTGCATAATGACGAGGCCATGATTATCGTGTTCCAAAGATAGTTTTTAGCTCTAGTACACAATGATCTTAACAGACTGAGCTAAAGCAAATATTCAATAAATGTGCTTTCATTACTCGGCACGTTTTAGGGGATTAAGGAAGGCAGAGCTGCATTTGTCGAGGTCCACATTCCTCTACACAGCTGCTAGTTACCACCAAGTGGTTGCACAGGAACACACACACACACACACACACACACACTGATCTAAAGCCTCACACACAACTCTAAACAGTCGACTGTCCTACAATAACCGTGTGTTTCTCTTCACCTCCCAGGCCGCTGCAGCCCTAAAAGAACTGTATAAAAAGCATCCAGTCCTCTACAACACCAGCATTGTCTGCTCCTTTGAGCCAAAAGTCATCTACAGGGTAAGAGAGCGAGTGTCTGCTCAGCAGTAAACTGGAGCTCAACAAAGTCACATTTGCCGTGTTTGACTGTCAAAGGGGACAGTTAATAAATGAGACTGTGAACATCGTGATAAGATTGCATGAGCAGCCTGCACACACTGCTGCAAACATCGCCAAAAAAAATGGTTTGTTCTGGTTGCACCTCTCCCGTGTTGCCTACATAAGCACTATATTAAAGCTAAATTCATCTCTTGCACACCACCAACGCTAGCTATACGAGCTGGGATTACCTGGCCCATAGAAATATAACAGACCGGCATGCTAAATGAGTGTAACAATACTCATTTATTTACACGGTTAACACACTGGTACTGATGAGATACAGTCAACTATTTGCATATTCCTGTCATGTATTGCACTGCTGTTGTGTTTATCATATTGCTAACATTCACCGTCTTCTTATCTCTTGCTCTGTTCCACTTCCGGCCCAGATGAGGCAGAGCGACCCAGAAGTGGTCACAGCACTGACCCACCGGCCGTGGAGCCTGAGTCGGTTCGGAGACGGTGCCCCTCGTTTCTCGTCCCCATGGAAGCACAGTTGTCTGACGCTCATGGACGTGGTGTTGGACTGGGCGCACCATCACGTGCTGTGGAAGCTCTGTGGCATCTCAGCCTTCCTGATACAGAAAAACTTTGTCTCGCCGTAAGTTTCCTGCAGCCGAGACTAACCGTCATATTAACGTCACATTCTGTCATCGTAACTAGAAGACTGAGACTTACTAGAATGAGAGTAACTGTGTGTCTGTGTCCTGTCTGCAGGGACTATGCTCTGTACTGGGCCCAGAGGGGGGTGGAGGTGGTAGCCTGGACAGTCAACACAAAAGTGGAGAAAGATTACTACCAGGAGGTGCTGCAAGTCAACTACATCACAGACAGCCTGGTGGAAGACTGTGAACCCCATTATTGAAAACCAGCATGAACCCAGAGCTTGATGCGACAACCACATATTCATTGAAAAGATCAAGTACATATGAAAGGACATTTCACTATCTACTTGTCACCCATAATGTGGCATCAGGTAAGAGAACATGTGCCACACTCACTCCCATGCACACTGTCTGTATTGTGAGTGTTTGTTTGTTTGAGGCAGTCGAACTGACCAGACTGAGCGCCATACTCGATAACAAGAGGCACTACATGTAATGCAATAAGTATCTATAATGAACCTTAATCAAACATTCTGTATTCACCAACTCAGGACTTTGCATTTGTGTCTGTCTGTCGAGACCTGAAGAATAGTGTCATACACTGCGTCTGTGCCTTTTACTCAATAACGGCCGTTCATCTGGTGGAAACTACCTAGACTAATATTTAAGAGTAATATAAATAACGATTTCATGTCTTTGACAAATGCCTATATGGAACTGAAATGCAGAATAGAATGAGATTGGCATAAGATAATGAGTTTTTGACTGTACATCACTTTTCTATGTGACGCTAATTTGTTCTTGTTCTCAACGGACACACGAAGAACAGTCCTCAGCAGCTTCATATTGTACATGCACCATACAACACAGTGTTGTCATTAAACATTTTGAAATGAACATTGTTCTTAAGAAATGATGTGATCTTCGTCAGAGGAACATCACTTGGTTTCATTGTAGCAGACCCGGACTTCTGCACTCCGCTGTATCTGTAGAGCAGACACCAGTGACTCCAGGACCGTTTCAGGTTTCTTCTGTCAAATCTTCTGTTCTCCTGTTGAGCTACATAATGAGGAAGTAGAATTGGTCTCAAGCACTATTTGGAAGCACAGTGACGTATGCAGAAATATAGCACAGGTGTAGCTAACACCAACAACGTCTACTTGTGTAGGTAAGTTGTGCCGGTGAGCCGTCTTCTGCAATTTCAGGGGCCTAGAATTTGAAAACCTGAATGGAATGCAGCCATTATTAACTGTGTTTGACGAGGTCATTTTGCCATTATATCGGTGTCCAGACTCAACGGTGCTCTGAAATAAATGGATAAAAAAAGCTCGACTACTTCGGTCTTTGACCCAGCTGTCAACCTCATCTGCATTTCCATTTGATACATTCTGAATTCAATCTAAACGGACTTGACAATTTAATGGTTTCATATGATGGAATATGTTTTTGTGGTGAGGTAGAGTGGAAGTATTTTCTAAATGCTGGGGACACCAACTGGGTCCAGATTGGCAAGGCCCTTAGCAGGACTGAATTTACTCAACACTAAAACCAAGAGGTAGCGGTATACTCTAAAAGCATACATGTGACGCCAATGTTTCCAGCCATAACTGCTTTAAAATCTTCATAAATGCTCTAGAAGCGAGCAGGAGGAGTGTAACGGCTGCTAGATATATTAACTGCTACGATACAAAGTGACCGTATAGTTAGTGCTCAGCCTGCGTAGTGTGGACTGTTGACGATTAGCCTCTTGCCCTGGAGTCTCCGGTGATTGACCCAGATCATGGAGATGAATGGGGGGTGAGTGGGAGATGCAAGTGTTGGATATCACCCTGGATAAGCCTGTCTGAGCCGCGTCTTGTCTCGGCTGATCTTCAGTCACTAAACACAGACCGTCAGCTCGCACTGGTGTAGAGTCACTCAGAGGCTCTTCACCTGAACGACAAAGGCTACCTGTGGTGACTTTTAGGCCTTAGATATATATGTAAAATATCACCATGCATATCAGTCCTTAGAAATATGAGTTTAATGGTACATTTTCGTCAGGCTCTCTTAGTTATTATTAAATATATATTTCAGTTCGTCTATCTCAGGTCTGTAGGTGAAAGGTAATCGCTCCAGCTCGAGGGTCGCGCAGTGACGTCACTGAGGGGGGGTTGCCCCGCTCCGCTCCGTAAAGCAGTCCGACTAAACGAACAACGATGAGAGCGGAAATTAAGAGATTCTAACTTCAGAATAAAACCCACAGACATTAGGAGCTTGTCAGACCCTTTAACATCCTCGTGAACTACTGTCGTTTTTACATGGTTACATTAAAACTGCACCTTTTTTATTAAAAAAAAGTACATGTGATGCAGTTTTACTATAGACAATGGTCACACTGCATGTTTACCACAAAACAAAAACACGATGAGAATATACTCTCTTTTCCCTCATTAGTCGTGTCCTGAGGTATCTAACCAGACAGAGAGCGTTGGTTGTGTTTGTCCAGGTTTTGGAACAAACCTTAATATCGTAAAGATGAATGGCATTTTGTAGTGAGGCTAAAATCATTTGAATTTGTAACAAATTAAATTCACAAACCATGTCCTGTTTACTCTAGTTAACCTCATGTTTTTTTGTAACTACGGTCTACCAGATAAATAAAACGCCATTTTCATAGTGAACAGCAAGCAATAACATTTAGCACTGAAAGTCATCTTTCCCAGCTCATGGGCACTGATGCATTTACAGGATGTCAAATAGCACATTAATTAATCACACATGTTATTGATGTCATATCACAGCCATATTATTAGCATACTGTCTATCAAAACTGAATATAAGTCCTCTGAAGACTGGACGTATTAAGTTAACTAGTTATGTTTTAAGTGGTGCTCAGTGATCTGATGGAGCATCTGTAGCCGAACTGGCGTCACAAATATGAGGAATATCAAATGAGTGTTTTATTTTGAAAATTCAGTCCGGAAGTCACGTTCTTCATTGTGGCCGGCTTGACACGCTGGCCGAGCATCGCAGCTTTCCGTCCTGATGAAAATATCAAAGTGTGCGTTGTCCTTGTGTTCCGTCAGAGAGCGCAGGGGTCGCGGTCAGTCCCGTGGCATCAGCGGGGCGTAGAAGGTAGAGTGTCCGGCCCGGAGTGTCACTGTCCCCGGACGTCAGGAACCACAAGGTCCCACCTCCGAGTGACGGATCCCCCCCACCACCCCCCCTCCCGCGGCTTCTGGAGCCGCTTTCTCCTTGGATGACCTACACGCAACCTCTCGTAGTAGCAGCGGACGTCGGTTCACTACAGCGGAACACCTGCTGCTTACTCTGAGGTGCAACAGTATCGATCACACAGCGGGCGACAAGTCAAAGCGAGTCTCTTGCAGGCTTCAGGCCGACCGTGGAGCAGCTGACCCGGGGAAGAAAAAATAAATGAGAAATCAAGCTGCGAATTTGTCTTCACCGTCGTTGTTGCGTCAGGGGGAGCCGGCAGAGGACTGCGAGGTGATCGATGTGCTTACCCGATGGTTCATGAGAGAGAGCGTCTTTACTCAGACACGACAGAATATCATTTTCGTGTTCACATGATGTACACGATCACCAGAGGTCCCAGCAAACTTGTCACACAACGGAGGACAGGTTGGTGAATGTATCCCTTATCTAACAGCATGATGCAATCATTGATTTTTCTCACTAAAGGGGGACGTTTTGGGGCATTGCACCGGTTGAAACGGTGCAATGTTTTCATGCAGCGCGTTTCCATGTAACCCGTGCACAGCGTAAAACCAACACACTCTTGAACTGTGTCTCCTGAAGGTCCCACGCAGCAGATCGAGAGCAAGTTCGGCGACCTGAAGCTCAAGCCGACGTCTTGGCTCTCATCGAAGTAAGTAACGTTAGCGGCTCCACATCCTGTCATGGTGTGTGTTTTTATTTCATTTTTTGTATTTTTGCAAGATCCTTTACGCCGGCTGTTTGAGCCACTTGGGCCCAAAAGCACGTGCTCCGTCGGCGCGATCGTGCAACACATCGGGGACTGTAGTAACGTCCCTGCACCCATTATCGGACGCAGACTTTTCCTGCAGTTTTTTTCCAAGCCCCGGCAGCACAAGTTGACCGACGACTGCTCTGCCTGCTGTGACCGTGTGTGCAATGCAATGCTATGCAATACAATTATCATATTGTTATAATAAGCACCACAACCTACCTCCTAAAGTTGAATCAATGTCATTAAGAACATAACTTTACTGAAAGTAGGATGTTTTTCAGAGCTGTATTGGGACGCCTTAGTTTTTATTAGGTGTCCCTAATAAACTGGTAACTGAGTGTATGTCCAGTCCAGTACTTCAGGTGAATTTGACCGCAGTAAACGTGTCAACGTTTTACAACTCGCAAACACTAAAATGTAGGATTTTAGGGTCTCTGATAAAACTTGAGGTTCTTCTTTGTTTTGTCAAATGATTCTGTCCCAAGGTGAAGAATGACCCTTCATGCTCAATTCCTCTGACCAATCAGAAGCAACCAGCATCATTTGTTTTTTCTCCATCCCTGTGAGATGGAACTCTCGTGTTTTGTTGTGATGCCTGCTGATCCAATCCCCAAGCAGTCTTCATTTATCTCCGCAGCTCTCCGTCCCCAAAGATTGTGTTCAACCGTCTGAACGGGAAGCGCTACCACGGTGCAGCCACACAGAAGCCCGCAAGCCCAGCGGAGGGATTCACGCCTGCACATGAAGAGAACGTCAGGTTTGTGTGTGAAGGTGAGATGTGTGTGAACGTCGGACTGGGACATCGGGGTGGGCAGATAATCTCCTGCTTTCTGTCATTTATTTTCTTTCTTCTTTTACCTCAACTTCCTGACTGAGCAGCAGGTGTAAATGAATGACTTGCTGAGCTGAATCAGCATGAAACAGTTATCTGCGTTACTCCTGGAGTGCAGCCAGTACAGACCGCTCTGTGGTGTCCTTTTGTGACTTTGTCACCGAGGAAAACCTCCGGCAGTCTATCGAGTTGTTCCGAGATAGAAAACCCGATGAGTCTCACTTTAGCTGAACGTGTCACCGTGACAAGAATGCAACAAATGCCTCCTAACATGTTTAGAAAGCCTTTTACCCTCCCCCATGCTCACATACGACATAAGTCCTCCCGTTATTGACATGTTGGCGTGTGTATCAGCCGGAATCAGCAATCTCTTGCTACTTATTTCTATTTACTCATTAGTTCTTTATGCATGTTTTACTGAGTCAGTCATCAGTTGTGATTTTATCATTTTATTATTATACGAGGGCTTTGCATTTTCTATAATAGTCGTTTAATACTCCAATAATATCAACTGAGACACTATAGGGTCATGGTTCGTATATTTACCCATATTAATACTGAAAGAGCTTATGTTATTTGTAGCCGACAGCATCAGGATGCTCGTACATATTATGCACCAGGACAGAGACACATTCTGTTTCTCTACATATGATAAAAGATGATAGAGATATTGAGATTCGGGATCCTTCTCTAAGAAATTTCGAAGCGTGTTTTTCTTTTAAAACGCGGGTGCTGTGCCATATTATTCATTCTAGCCCTTGAGGCTTTTCGAGTGCGACGCTGGAAAACCTTCACCTTTAGCAAATAAAACACAAAACATGGCCCAGTTTAGTCTTCATGCAACTATTTATGTTACCTTCAAGTGGACAGTGCTATACAGATGCAGTCTCACAGTCAGCTGCTGCTTTGATGCAGTGGCTACTTTATTTCTGATGGAACATTTTTTGCGTTTCAGGGCTAAGTTCAGAAATGTAGACGGAAAAGAAACACGTTAAAGTGTAACTTCACCCCAAAAGTCCGCCCACTGCAAAGCATGCGTCGACAAATCCGACAGCTACAGTAGCTTGGGAAACAGCTTAACGGTGCGGGATGCCGAGTTTGACAAGTATGCATTTAAGTTAATTCAGCGCATATTATGTGTTTGTTTGCTCGCAGCATGGCAGGAGGTGGCGCAGAGGCTGGGAGATGGGGAGTCAGCTGACAGCCAGGGGCCCGTTCAGTACACCGAGAAGACTCCCAGTGCTGCGATGAAGAGTAAGTACCTGCATCTCCACTATTTTAATCGGCGTACTATTCCCACTCACTCGACTGCTAAAAGCCTTCAAAGAATACGAGACAATGAAACTCCCCCCTCCCCCTCTCATTAAATCCAATCTCACTACCAAGTTTTATGGCTTCAGCGGAGAACGTTCTTTCTGCTTTGTAACCTCCTAACCTTTGAACCAATAATCCTGCCGTGTTTTTATTATTATGCTGTGTTTTTATTATTTAACACCAGAGGGAAGGTGCGTGCTTCTGGCTCCGTGTTAGTCTTACTCAAAGGTTATCTAGTGTAATAGTCTGCTTTAATTTTTAACTCCTTGTTTGTCTATAACCCGTCTGTTCCAGATAAACCAGCTCTGACTGCTGATTGCACGCGCACACACACACCCCCCCCCTTCTGTGGCTCACTGCCTTTACATTTTTAATGACACATAACATGAGTTTCATTTCTTTAATTCAATTGATCTATTATGGGATCTAAAAATATAGACTACATTTAGTCTCCTATTACATAGATATCAGTAGAACTGTATTCTATACTGTTTCTTTAAATTTTACTTTGGTGTCCATGTGGCAAAATGAATCAATCATAGAATATGAATTCTGCTTTAAATCCATGTACCTTCTGTTGTCTTTGTTGCTTTGCAGACTTTGTGCCCATAGACCTGGAAGAGTGGTGGGCTCAGCGCTTCCTTGCCAACATTGCCAACCTGTCATGACCGCGTGAGGCTCTGAGGCGGGACGGGAAGCGCCGACTCGATGCTCCGCTGTGAGGGGCATCTCGGGGGTGAAGAGGGAGGCGAGTACGTCTCCAGGATCGGTGACGCAAAAGGGTCGTTCATAATTAGGAATCTGATTTGATGCCCCGTGCTCCACGCTGCTGTAGAGAAAACCAACCCCCCCCCCCCCCAATGAAACAACAGCGACCTGACTGAGCTCTGACAGCTCTGACTTGAAGTTGCGCTGCTGTGAAGGACCCGTCTATCTACATGGAAGCTGTGAGAACCCTCGCCTGTATGTACGTCTCAGCTGATCTTTGGATAGAAATCTACTGAAGATCAAAAGAAGTAAAATGTTTTTCAAAAACGTGTCGTGTGATGGAATTTGTCACTAATTAGGCCATATCTTACTGAAAGTCATTTTTCCATGAAACATGACTTGATTGAAACATTTATTATTTGGATGACGGTACCCGGCTGGATTGTTTATTTGTACCATCACATACATAAGATGCTTAAAATCTATTTCATATAGAAATACAAGTGACCATTCTTACCATTTTTAAATCTCCACAGTGGGTTTATAATGCAACATTCAAAACCTGTCCTGAAGAAACATATTTTAACGTAGTTTTAAAACATAGTAAAACCTGAAGTGAGCTCTTGAGGAATCAGCCTGGTCCCATCTCTCCAAGAATACTATTTCCAAATGTTCAAACCTGCCACCTCTCACAGTTTCTGCTTCGTGCAGTTCTAAAGTTTTAAATGACGGCTCTTCTCCTGCCCGCTGCCTTCGCCCCCCTGCCTGTCCTCCTGCCCCGCCTGCGGCCGGCTGAGGAGTGGCCCGGCTTGGCCGTGGTGAAGGTGATGCACTGGGAGTCCAGGTAGTCCACTAGCTTGGCGGCACCCAGACGGATCCCTGCCGCTTTGAGGCGCTCCTGGAACTGGGACAACACGAGAGGCCGGTACTGGAGGATCTGACCGTACAGCTCGGAGTCGGACAGGATGAAGGAGCGCACCGCCCGGAGGCGATCTTGGAGGCTGTTTGCTGACTGGGAGGCAGAGACGCCGCCGTCACTGTCTGAGTCGGAGGAGAGGCGCAGCTCTGGGTTGGACCTGCAGAGAGAGAAGAGATTACATGCCCATACTGTCGTTAAGGAAGTTTTTATATTTTCCATATTTTTGTGACACACCATCTTATGACATTACATTACAGTCATTTAGCAGACGCTAAACCTGATGTAAGAATAAGACGGGAGAAGTCCTGCCTTTCTCTTATTTGATCTCAAAAAGCCTTGTGCATACTAGAAACACAAGAGAAAAGATTAAACTTTATTCCAAATACAAAATATTTCGCCAACATCAATGAATGCTGCAAACTGGAGCTCAAACTGTGAGAGAAGTGGAGAAACTATAAATTGAGCCTTCTGAAAATGAGTAGAGCAACTTAAAGTTATCTGTTACTGAACACCTGAGATGATGAAACACGTGAACAGACACAAAACCTTTCAGATTGTTCACTGGCAGCAGATGAAGAGGTGTTGGAGCCCTGTGAGGCAGACAGCTGCTCCTCCTCTCTGTCGGCTTTGGGAGGGGAGATGGCGCCGGGCGCTCTGGGCTCTTTAAACTTCACCCTCTGGGTGCAGGACACCGGTCTGCTGCCAGGAACTTCTGAAGTGGTGGTCGGGCGCTTCGTCTGAACTGCGCGGCTCGCCGAGGGGGCCTCTTCCTCGTCCTCAGAGCTGACCAGCTGGTGGGTGTACTGGTGGATCTGCTTCAGTTTGAGGATCATCTGGCGCTTCGGTAAAGACCGAACGCCAAACCTGCACAGGAGGAGAAAGTAAGAGGACAGATGGTCCGGGGGGGGGGGGGGGGGGGGGGGGGGGGGGGGAACACCGTGGGAGGTAATTGGATAGCTGCCTCGCTTAATTGGCCTGATAAGAAAAGAAAAGAGAAAAAAACATGGCCGACTGACCTGTTGAGTTTGTTCTTGAGCTCCGGTGTGTCCATGTCAGAGTAGTGGGGCAACGGGGTGATGGGCACCAAGGTGTGACGACGTTTAATCTGTGATGATGCTGATGAGACACAAACAGGAAGACTTTGTTTAAGAATAAATGAACTACCCCGCCGTGTCACACACAGACATCTTTTAGGTGATGTTCAAGGCATTATTTGTGTTTTTCCCTCATCTCGCTTTAACTTACTCTCGTTAGGATTAATTGCGTTTTAAAAGGTGAGATGACAAACTGCAAACATACTGCAGCTAATTGATTGTGCGTGAACACCACGGAGCAGCACTGCTTCCTCAAAACACCAGTTTTAGTCTATACAATGTTCCCAATATTTGCCCTGGAGAGAAGATCTGAAGAATAATATAACTCTTGGGAGGACGGAGGTTTTGTAAAACTTCAGATGTGCATTCTAGTGAATTACAAGAAATCCAAAAGCATTGCAGTAAGAGGGAGACGACTTACCCGGTGTTTTGAGCAGAGCGGGAGAAAGAGCCTCCACCTCCTCGTCTTCCTCCCAGCTGTCCCATATTTTGGAGTTAAGGAGGCCGTTGATGATCTCTGGAGTGGTCTGCTTGGTGGGGTCAGGTGGGGAAGGAGTAAAGGAAAGGCCCATATGAGCTCGTACACTGGTGGATGGTCGTGAGCTGTGGGCTTTGGGTGGAGAGCAGGCCGGTGGAGAGCAGGCCGCCACAGAGCCAGGGCGACTGCGTGGTGAAGGGCGGCGGTCGGCGGAGGAGGCCGACCCGGCTGCCTCTCGTCGTCCCAGGCTGCGCTCGCCTTGCTGGCTGGACGCTCTGCTGTCCTCCAGCCTCAGACTGAAGCAGCCCGGGTTCGCCTTGAAATCCACAGCGTCGAAACCCCACGAGTCATTGAAAGCGATGGGAGGCTCGTCCATGAAGCTCTGCTGGAAACTGGATTCAGCAACTTCTGCCTCTCCATCTTCTGCTTCCTCCTGCTCTCCTTCATCACCCGTGTCTTTATTTTCACACCCAATCTCTCCTTCGTCCTTCCCTAATCCTCTCCCGTTGAGCTCAGACCCTGCGCTGTTGTGACTGCTGGACTCAACAGAGCGACGACTTTGACGGGAGGCTTCACCGAGCCTCTGTGAACCTTGAAGACCTCTGTAAGAGGAAGACGAGGGCGAAGGTGTGGGGTCAGACAGGGGGGACAGATGAAAGCTCCCCAACTCCGTCTCCCTCGGGCTTTCAGACGGCGCCCTGTCCCTTCCGTGACTCGTCCAACTCTCGTCGAGGTTGCCGTGGAGCGGGGAAGTGGCGAGGACAACGGGGACCTTGTGGAGCTCTGTGTGCAGAGGAGTGCTTCTGTAAGGCCGGGTCTCGTCCGGCTTTAACTTGGGAACATAGAACGCAGAGACTCTGACTGGACTGTTGGAGGTTGCGCTTGGTAAAGCAAGAGAAGAGAAAACAGAGGGCGAGGAAGTGTCCCCTCTAGGGAACAGCTGCGTCCTGAACACGCTGCTCTTGGTCTGAGTGGAGCTGGTCGCGGTGCTTCTGCCGGGCTGGACCGGCGTGGACGGGATCAGCCAGGACACTTCAGGAGAACAGTCTTCCGGATTCTGGTCACACCAGGGACCTAGATCACTTTGAACTGGCGCCGCAGATGGATCATCGGGACTTAACTCTAAACTACTGGACTGTGTATTTGGCAGGGTGTGTTCATTGGGTTTCGGGACCGGCTGAGGTTTGATCTGGGTGTAGCCCTGCAGGTTCTGGATGGCGCGAGGGGAATGTGGCGAAGGACCGCAGGGACCAACAACTACCTCCATCTCCTCGCTCGAGTCCGACAAAACAATGAGCTCAGGTTCCTTCTTCTCACAAATACTACGAGGACCAGGACGTTCTCGCGTCAAAGCAAGATCATCTTGACCGGGAGACTGACCCGGGACAGGCAGGTTGGATGCATTTGGCGGAGGGCTGAGGGAAAGGTCGTCAACCACGCTTGCTGAGGACTGAAGCAAAGCGGGTTCAGATGAGGGTTGATGAGGGGACTGGCGTTGCTGGCAGTGAGGGGGGGTGTGGGTCTTACCCGGGGCAGAAGTGGAGGGTAAGGAGGAAGGATCTTCTTCCTCGTAGACCCCCCAGCAGTCTGAGAAGAGGCTGCTGTAGCTGCGATCCAGGCCGGGGTCCGGCTCAGGTTGAGAGTTTGGCTGCAGTTTGTTTACGCTGAGGCCTGATGGACTTTTTTGGGGTTCTGTCAGTTCTGTGAACACTTCTTCTCTGTCTTCTTCCTCGTCTACCTTCTCCTCCTCCGTGCTGTCTTTCTCCTCCTCCCTCTTTCTCTGCGTGGCGGCAAACTCATAGATCTCCTCGAGCTCCTCCTCGTTCACGTTCTCCTCGCGGATCTCTCGGTCCGCGAGGAGAACCACGGCTTGTTGATCGTCTTCCAGTTCTCTCTCTTCGTCCCTCCCTCCACCTGTATCTGTGCCCTCGCCGTCTTCATCCTCTTCGTCCCACATGGAGCGGAGCAGCTCCGTGAGGGCCTGGTGTGTTCGGTTGTTGACATTCTCCTCCTGGTTCCTGTCGTCTTCCTCATCCCCCCGAGTCGCTGGGTCCTGATGGTGAAGCTCGCAAAGCAATTGTAGCTCCTGCAAGTCAAACCTTAACGAACACAGAAAGAGTCGTCGCAACACTGAATTCAATCTTTCCAACTGACCAACAATGTCATTTTTAGGAATGTTTCAACAGTTTTCATCTCCTGAACCTGAGCCATTATGAACTACTACGCAATACTTGAGCGGACTTTCTTAAATGTGATTTTGAGAATTAGAGTGAGACACAGGATAAATTATGCTGCTCAACATACAATACTACAAATCAGAACAAAAACCTGAATGGCACCAACTTATCTTTTTTAACTTGTAAGAGAAAAGTGTGTATTATTGTCCCGGCTCGTGTACTGCCTACTAACCTAGATGCCAGCTCCAGCACATGAGCCCGGAGCGATGCCGGGACGGAGCAGCGGGCCGTGTAGAGATACTGCAGCAAAGCCAACACCGCCCGTCCCGGGACGTCATTCATCAACACTCTTTGGGCTGCAGGCTGGCCTTCCTCCTGCACCCCAAAACCACTTTCATGTACCTGTGAGAGGAGCAGAGCAACCAGGAGAAAAGATGATTCTTTTTGTATTCTCTCTTTTTATTGATTTTACAGGTTCAGAACACAACAAAAACAATATACAGGAAAGGATACAACATATTAAAAGGTAAAAAACAAAACTGAAATCCACTGGCTTAATTAGAGAAGCTGAAACTACTGGCTGGTAAGTGTCGACTATCGTCATATTCATACCCTTTTTGTGGCCTTTTCCAGTTATAATATATGTTTTATTTACAAGCCAACTATGAAAACAGATTTCTACATAATTAGGCAGCCCTGGCTCTGCTACTCTGTATCTAAGGGTGTGTTTGGCAACAGACAACGGTGATATATTTTACCATTTCTGCCAGCAGGGGGCATCGAGCATACAGCATGAAGGAATGAGCAAAGTAGACCTCTCCACTGTCCACCTGCAGCTGCAGGTCACTGAGCTGAGGGTTGTTCACCATGCCGCTCAGGTCTGATGCCAGGCTGGATAGCGCCACCTGGAGAGGAAACACCAGCAGGAAACACTGCAGAATTATGACATTATTGTTGTTACATATCTGCACCGCATGTCTGGAAAATCTCTTTGTCTTTAAGGACTGTAATGAAGAGACTTGCATCTCAAAAAGATAAGGGAGATTCTACAGAAATAAACTGATGAGATTATGTCAGATGATGAAGAAGACTAGAACTCAGGATCACGGCTGAACATGTCGGAATGAGTGCGATTGTGGGAGGTCTCACCGATCGGCGGCTGCCTCGCTCTTCATCTGCCCCCGGCTGAGCCGCCGCCGTCCTGGCTCGGCAGCGAGCGTCCTCTGTATGCGTGTGTGTTGGTTCTGGTAGGAAGCCGCTCACACAGAGGTCCGCCTGCTCCTCGGACTCCTCCGGGACGAAGCCGCTCAGACGAATGTTTGGGATCCGACCTGCACTCCCGTCTGTGGGATCGAAGACAATCAGGAGCCGAACTGACGACCAATTAAGTCACGACTTAACAATTTGGGCTGGCGAGTTGCTCCCGTGTGTCGCAACAGTGTAGCAGTAAACTAGTATCTAAAAGTCAAAGTTTAACAAATACATTCATTTTAAAAAGGTATAATCAAGGTTTGTGGTTTTCAGTTTTGACTTATTTTCGTAGTAAACTACACAGAATAACCAGAACAGAACAGTCCCCCACAGGCAAGCAATCCTCTTGTGACAAGTACAGCTCAGAAATGCTTCTGGTAATAGAAAGTGAAAAGAAAAGTAGGTTTTTAGATATTCACCCCTTTTTAAATTGAACACCGATAAGTTCACTAGTTACCTTTGTCAGGGTCTGAAGCAGTGTGACCACACTGGGTGAGGGTCATGCCATCTTCAGCCAGCTCCATCAGGTCCATGAGGAGCGTCTGGCCGGTGGAGGGAGTCGTCTGAGAGGAGGACACCTGGGAGGCGGATGGCAGGATGGAGGCCACGGTCCCTGTGCCGGGAGTTCCTTCACTCACTGGTTGGACAGAAGACTGAGGCTTGTTGGTGGTGCTGGAGGTGGCTGCGTCAGTCTAGAAGAAAAAAAACACAAGCTCAACCGTCATACCGATTTTAAATTCCCCATTCAGTTCAAAAGAAAGCATGCAAACAGGTCTCTCTCACCGTGGCCGATTCCCACGGGGTGATGAACTCCCTGAGCTCTGGAGTGTAGAAATCAGACGGACGGGTGGAGGCTCCGTCCGGCGGCAGTGTGCTCTTCTGCCAGAGGACGGCGGCACCGCTCCGGCCGGGCAGACTGCTGGGGCAGCGGGTCGGGGTGGGGGGGGAGGGGGCCCGGCTGCGAAGGAGGAGCGCAGAGACGCGCTCCTGCAGCCTCGTCAGAGCCGCCTCCGCATCCTGAACAAGGAGGAGCGGAGGAGGACGCGGGACGGCGCCCCTCTTCCTCTTTCCACGCCCTTTACCTGCACCAAGAACAGCAGAGGAGAAAGGGGGGGAACACAGTCCATTCATAACAATTTCAAATCATAGCATAACAGCATACCTGAGTTTGAGCTACACTGTGAGCTATAACATTCTCTTGCAGATGATATATTGATGTTACCGTCATTGTACCTGTGTCTGTCCTCCACTTCAATGCTGAAGTCGTGGAGATGTGGGAGGCAGCAGTGTTTGTTTGTAGTTCTACCTCGGACTCCCTCTGCTCCTGTTCCAGCAGTGAGGAGGACAAAGCCAGGGCCACCATGGCGTCTTCGTCCAGGGACGCGGTCTTCTTTCTGGGCTTCTTCTTCGCTGGCAAGCCCGGCTTGGACGGGCCTTTTCTTTTAGTGCCACCGGTCTGTGCGCTAAAGAGGAGAAAAGAAAATATAAAAAGGCTAGAAAGAGGTTTGTTTAAACTCGTATACTGATGTTAGGTGATCGGCAAGCTATTCCTATTATGGGAACAGATTGAGCTCAACGTTCTCTCTCTGTTAATCAGTCTCACTGAAATCATGCAAAGTTAAGTCCTTGGACCATGTGTGGATCCGCATTAACAGCAACATTTGGAATATCTCAGGGAGCTCAGAGGTGTACTACGGTATTATGTCTGGACTGAAGTACAGAGGCTGACTCACAGTGTGGAATCGGCGGGGACATTCTGGGTCTCCTCGGTCTGTCTCTGCAGAGCCTGCAGCAGCACAGCCGGAGCGACGCCCATGTCCGAGGAGCAGCGTTTCAGGTGGGCCGAGCGACTCTTCTGGGACTTGAACTTCCTGCCACAGATGGGACAGTCGGGGACACCGGAAGGCGGGGGAGGAGGGGCCGGAGCGCTCTCTTCACTCTCATCCAAACACCTGCAAAGAGGGATCGCTCTCCCGTTCAGTGTGTCCACCACTCACTTAACGTCACTACTGCATGTCACTCTGGATACAAGCGTCAATCAAACGCCTACAGTGTAAAACGTCCAAACCTGTTGAGGTGCTGCGTTCGCCCCTCGGGCGTCATGTGCGACAGATCCCGGTGGCAGATCTGACAGAAGAAGAGGCCTCTGTCCTCCAGGTCCACCACCTGGGTCTCTGCTGCCTCCCTGTCCAACTCCTGCTGCATCTGCAGGGCCAGAGCCTCGTCGCTGTCCTGGGGCTCCGGGCGGAGACCTGGACTGAAAGAGTGCGGAGCATCTGGAAACAGAGGGGCAGTTACACACACATATAATATATTGTATTGTGACTTTAATGGACTAATAACATGATATAGACCCAATTGTGTCTTTTGTTAGAGCTTCAATGCAGCCTGACATCAAGGCTGGCAGAGACCAGCCAGCTCTGCTGCTCGACATCAAGGAGAATACAAACATGAATTCCCACAAACTTGCCATGTCAACTGCGAGTAGTTTCATGTCCTACACGTGGGACAAGAACAAATAAATGTGACCGACAACGAGGTGTGCCAAAGCCGGTTGTATTATCTCAATCATGGATGATGATGATGATGATGACATTGGCAACAATGCTGCATACTAACAACCTGTGCCGACAAGAGCATCGCGTCATTTCACCTCGTCTTTGTGTCAGAGGTGGAGCAGGAGTTGGGTTTGCTGGCTGACTCTTGTCTTTGTGCACCATCTTCTGCGGAGTGGCTCTCTTGAACTGCTGCATTCTGTGGAGGACTTTGTCTTTCGCCTCCAAACCTCTTGGTCCTGCTGCTGCTGCTGAAGGCCCAACTGACGGCTCTGCATCTCCTGCATCGTGAGCAGTCCCCCCACATACCAGATGCTCTTCTGCACCAGTACAAACGGGCTGAGACCCAGAGTCAGCTTCTCTCCTCCTCTTGTCTGCATTGCTCACCTGACTGGAGGGCTGATGCTCCGCTTTCCTTGGCGGTCGGGACCCACCTGGTTTCTTGCGGACTCGTTTTAGCAGCTTTGAGCAGAGATCCACAAAGTCCTGGTCCGAGTCATCCATGATGGAGCGCTCTGTCTCGCATTAAAGGGCCGTGCCAGCAAGTCCCCAGCTACACCGATAAGCCTGCAAAGAGAGCGGGTTGAAGTTGGGCTCAGGGACCAACAACGGTTCCTTTTGACGACAGGAGCAGCAGTGTAAATGTTAGCGATATTAATCAGCCAGTACTGCTCGTTTACTGCACAAGACAACATCTATGGGATCATTCAATGCCAACAAGTTCAATTTGGGACAATTTCCAAACAAATAATGTTTGAAAGCGTATGTTTGTAGAGGGAATATCAGTTGCATAATGCCGCGAGCTAACGTTAGCTAGCTGGTCGTGCTAGCATTCATCCTCACCGGTTTGATGAGTTCGCTCTTCGGCTTTAGCTTTCCGCCTCATCGCTGCTCATTCACGAGTCTGCCGCGATGGCGAGCGACTCTCGTTTAATTTAAAATACAAGCACGCATTATATATCAACTGTTAGCCTGATAAAACAAGCAAAAAAACAGCGGGGTTTGTTTACATTTCAAAAGCGCTCACGCTCAACCGCTTCATTTTGAGCTTCCGGGTCACGTGACGGTTAACGCGACTGCAACGCATCACTATCGATTGATGTTATGGATCAATGTGGACCTACGGAATCACGTGAAACGTCTAACAATATAATAATATAGCCTGATAACTTGAAAATGTATAAATAATTCGGTTTCACATTATAAGTGAATGTTCTCTACTCAAATACAATTCCATTCAAAGGCTCAAGATGTTTCATCATTTCATTGGTACCAGAAATGATTTGTTCCAACTTCACTGGGTTTTCTAAATGTAGTAATAGGCTTTCACTTGAGACTCGAGCAGAGCCGACTTGATCATTCATACTTTAGTAACATTTATCTGAAAAGTCACCACTCCTACATTAAACTAAACACTCCCACAACTGTGATCATGCACTTTGATCTGAAATTATTAAACGCTTCAAATTCACCCACTCTTTCAATTTGTAGAAATTCAGGTGCAGGATGAAGTTATAATCTCAAAAGAACTTGTTTCTTTAGAAATAAATGTGTTTAGGGCAGAAATGTTTTCTGACCACTAACACTTTGTTAAAACCCAATTAAAGCATTAATGGCGACTGGAAAAGCGAACATTTCTGATCTGAAACAAACAAACACAAAGTAGCACACAAGAGCAATGCCTCGTTATTTAGTCAGAGTAATGGAGTTCTTCTGCTGCACAGAGTTTATTTAACAATATGGTATATAAGTAAGAAATGAGTCTTTTTAACCGGTTTATACAGTGTTTTCATTTTCTCTTCCTTATATTTATAGTATTTTGCTTAATAACTTGATTTACAATAGGAGAAAAAGTAAATCCCCCCAATTCAAGTTTCTGTGAGAGAGGAATGAGGGTTGATAACATTTCATTTTCCTCAGGGTGAATCTCAAATTGGCCCTTCATCCATAGAAAGCACATAGCTTAGTGTAAAGTCGAGAGGATGAAGCGTCATCAGAGATGTGGCCGACAAACAAGCGGTGAGCGTTCCACCTCAGCTTAGGAGGAGGGTCTCTTTTTACACTTTACAACATTTGTATGACAAAACGTATGACAAAATCATTTTAATGTCAAAGCAACAATGTCCTACAGCTGCAGGACAGATTTTTGAGATGTGTGTTGCACTTCTTGTCGTCTGCGTTTGTGAAACCAGTCGGAGCTGTAGTTATTTTAGTGACTGTGAGAGTTTGTGTCAGTGTCGTCATGTGCGCCCGTATACGTGCCCGTGAATAAACAACTGCCGCAGTCCCATTTTCCTATTTCAATACAACCGAGTGCTCTTCATACACACAAAGAAGGAGGGGAGCGGTCCCTGAACGCACCGTCTCGGAGTAAATGGTACAACACTAGATTACAATTGCCAGGAATGACAGCTTGAAAAGAGAACGAAAACCTGGCCCAATTCCCAGACACATTATTTTACAGTTTCAACACAACGATGCTTGAAGTTTCTTTTCCAAAGGTACAAAATAAAAAGATATGAATAATATAATGCAATTGTACATTTTCTTTAAAAAAGAAAAAAGAAACGAGAAAGGCATGTAACCATACCAAAAACAAACCAAAAATAAATTGAGTATTGAACACATTTGGTCTCAACCAAAAAATATATTCTTTGTGGTTTAAATCTCACTTAATGACCTTTTAGGAAACAATTACATTCCCTCAAAGTGTTGACTCTTATTTTTTTCCCCTCTCGACCAAATTTTCTTTTTTTCCTTTTTACAACAGTTGAAACTTTATACACGTCAGTACAAAAAAAACGTTCTCAACCTTAGAAAGAACAAACGAAGCCCTCTGACGGGACAAAGTGTGAGGGTGGGTCCCTGGGAGAGAGATTGTGTACTTTAGTTCCAAGCAGAAATGCTACAATCCCTCCACAAACTTCTCCAGAGTGTCCCCTGTAGCGTCTCCCACCATCCCCAAGTCACTGTTCAGTCCCACCCTGTTGGGCGTGTTAAGCTGCGGTAGCATGGCGCTTTGTTCTGGTGTCCCCAAGTGTCCCTGCTCCATGGACCCTGACAGCGGGCCCCCGAGTACCGGGCGGGGGGAACCCGTGTGTGGATGCTGCGGCGAGGGCTGGGGCTGGATCTGGACCTGCGGCGAGGGACTGGAATGTGGCCGCTGCTGCTGGGGCTGCTGTTGCGAGGGCGGACAGGGGGACTGGACTGGCGCGGGGGAGCGGACCTGGATGTTGAGGGCATTGGCTAGTGTGGGCTGGCCGGGTAGGTGGGCTCCGCCCTGGGGCTGGCCGGCCAGCAGGTGGGTCTGAGGGCTCATGGGGCTGGGCTGGGCTGGAGAGCTCATCTGCTGCTTGAGGATGGCCTGCTGCTGCTGGGGAAGTTGCTGCTGGAGCATTCGCTGATGCAGCAAGTTCTTGGTGGAGTCCATAACCATGCCGGGCTGTGCCATCTGAGCCATGGGTGGGAGCTGGCCCAAAGGTGCCCCAGCTGCTCCTGCACCCGCCTGCATGGCTAGCTGCTGCTGCATACGAAGCTGGGAGTACGAAGCTGCTGTACCCTGAGCCTGAGCAGGGAACTGGCCAGGATGGCCTTGAGGCATCACTCCCTGTTGTTGTTGCTGTTGTTGTTGTTGTTGTTGTTGTTGTTGTTGTTGTTGCTGCTGCTGCTGCTGCTGCTGCCTTAAGAGCTGCCGACGGTAAAGCTCCTGGATCTGGGGGTTGGTGTGTGCTGCGTTTATTAGCTGCCCTTGAGCCCCTAATGCAGCCATGCCCTGCGCAGGAGGCTGCTGTGGGGGCATCCCCGGCCTCTGCACCGCTCCTCCAGGCATGGCCATGGGCTGCATTGTTGGCATGCCGGGCTGCTGTTGCTGACCTGCTTGCTGCGGCTGGTTGGCATGGTACTTGGCTGTTCGCTGTTTGATGAAAGCAGCCATTAGCTGAGGGTTTGACTTGAGGATGTTTAAAACTTGCTGCTGCTGCTGCGGCGAGCTGGGAGACTTGAGTGTGCGGAGAAGGTCCTGCAAGGCGTTGGGCGCAATAGCACCGGGTCTCTGGGGTGTTTGTAGCCGGGCACCAGGCTGCTGTGGAATCAGCATCCTCTGGCCCTGCTGCGGCTGCTGCCCTGGGGCCATCAGGGCTCGCTGCATTGTCATGGCCTGCTGTGGGGTCTGGCCCGGGACAAGGCCCGGTTGTTGAGTCTGAGCCGGCTGTATTGGCCTCACGGCTCCGGGCCACTGACCTGGAGGCAAGCCCGGCTGCATGACCTGCGGCCCCCTTGGCCCTGGCACCATCTGCATTTGTGGCTGCATTGGTCCGGTCATACGCTGCTGCGGCTGCTGCTGGGGGCTCATGGGTAAGCCGTTCATGTTGACCCGGTAGTTCTGCTGGTTCTGCTGGGCCTGTGCCATCATCTCGATGTGCCGTGCCATCTTGACTGCAGCGAGGGGGGGCTGCTGCTGTAGCTGCTGAGGCGGCTGGGCTGGCTGGGGGAGAGGGGACTGCTGTTGGTGTAGAGGGGAAGCCTGGGGCCCATGTTTGCCCTGGGACACAGGTGTTTGAGGCTGGCCATTGTTGGGAAAAGAGGGAGACATGACGCCCGCTGCGTTGGGGGTCTGCGGCTGGTTGCCGAGCGGCTGTTGGGGTGGCTGAGGAGTGTTGGGCTGGGCATGGGAGGTGGGAGTGCTGGGAGCAGCTGTGGCCGGTGGGGACGGTAGTGGCATGGTTCTGCCTTGCATGGTGGCCATTCTTCTCCTCATCAGCTGGGCCTGCTGGAGCCTGTGCTGCAGCTGCTGCTGGCGTAGCTTGTGCTTGATGTTCAGGCAGAACGGGACAGGACACTTGTTCTCCTGACAGTGCTTGGCATGGTAACAGCACAAAGCGATAAGTTGCTTGCATACGGGGCAGCCACCGTTGGTTTTGCGCTTGCAGCCCTTGGTGTGCTGCACCACTCGCTTCATCTTCTGGCAGGACGGCAGAGAGCAGTTGGCGTTGCGACACTGACAAGCGTGGACCAGGGACTGGATGCAGCGTTGGATACTTAAGCGCCGGCTCTCCTGCGGGCTCTTGGAGGCCTCTCCGCTCTGGCCGCTGCTGTCGTCGTCCAGGCCAAGGCCCCACTTCACCATCTGGTGCTCGTGGCCCCTCACGTTGTAACAATTAATGCACAGATCAAAGTCCTGCAGAAATAAAGGCCAGACGGGAACACAGTCATGAACACAAGCTTAACCAAGTCTTGTAAAAAGTTGTGTCTAGAGTTTCACAAATGTACTCATGCTGACAGACTTCAGTGTCTTATTTTAGATTGTTTATACAGTTTCAGGCACAGGACACTGACACAGAAGTCATTCCTGAGTAAAAAACACACCACAGCATACAAACAGTAGTAGTAGTAGTAGTAACTCACCTCGCACACAGTGCAGTGCCAGCGCGTCTCTACATGGTGCTTGCACTCGTTGCAAGTGTAGACAAAGCGGTCCTGTCCCTGGTTGTGCAGCTCAACCAGCATGCACATGCTGCTCCACTTGCACCTCCTGAGGGAGCTGAACTCCCAGTGTTTGTCCCTGGCCAGAGTCAGGAAGGCATCGCGGCCATCCATCAGGTCACAAGAGAGCATGGGGTCAGGGTCAACGATGGGAGGCAGGGTGTTGGCCATGGGAGCAGAGTGGAGGTGGATCACAAAGAACACCTTCATCAGACGGAGGAAGACGCACAGAAATGTGAGTTAGAGAAGCACAAGCAAAACTGAAACGCTAGTAAAACATATTAAAAGATTTCCCTATATTCACGATCTAATGTTTAGAAAAAGCCTGTTTATCATCAAAACAGCTTAATATCTAATATCTATCAGAAACAAATCGAACCTCTTTGTGTTTCTCCATGCTGGCGTAGAGCTTCTGGGACAGATCATTGGCTACATTCGGCATCCCAGGTTTCTTCTTATTGGCTCGGCTTACGCTGCCCTTATTTTTACTGGTCTTCTTGTTGTTCTTCTTTTTAGCGTTTTTGCTGTCACTTGGCGTACCCTGCAGGAGATAGAGGATGACAAATATTAAAGAAAACCGCTAATTACATGTTCACATATTTTATCTACATTGATGGAATCTCTCCAGCTGCGCCAAGCTAGGACTCATTACAGTACGATTGTTTATCTTCATCATAACACCTTGTTCCTCAGTTACAATGTGGAAAACAATATTCCAAGCTTTAAAAGGAGTTGTTTATGAAAGACTGTTAAATCTATAGAAGCTCGGAAGAGCAAAAATGTCTGTCAAAGACAACAAAACGGGAGCAGACAGTGGATTTGTAAATTCTGGCTTTGATAGAACCATATCAACAAACCACAACACAAACCTCAGGGGTTTCAGAAGCAGTTGTGTTCTCCTCCTTCTTCCTCTCCTCCGCCTCCTGCTGCAGCTCCTTAATGCTCTCCTCCAGCACGTTGGGCCAGAAGTCGCCTTCGAAGTACGGCAGCTCATTGGCGCTGGTCAGGCGGTCCTCTGTCGCCTGTTTGCAGATGTCCTGAGAGGAAGGCAAAGACACAAGATGTATTCCATTTGTTTTCAGTAATCCAACATATTTTACATATTTAATGCATTTGTCTGTTGTTACAGACAAAATAGCAAATGTGTTCAACTATTCACACAGAAACCTCCCAGGGAATATGATCAGGAACACAGTAAATCAAAGGTTTGCATGCACACGTAAATGTTTCCTTTGTTCTAAATATTACGAGCCCCTTATTCAGACGTCAGTCTTGCGTACGTATTTAAAACAAAGTGTCTACTCCTTTACCTTGTAGTCATGCAGAATCCTCTCTGCAAAGGCCTTGTCCAGCATCTTCCTGTACCACTCTTGCAGCCTCTTGGGCTTTGGGATCTTCTGGTCAAGAGGATGACAGTGGAAGATGTAGTCATCTCCCTCACTGGGTGGACACGCCCAGATGTGGCCCTGGGCATAGCTGCGGGCATACACAGACCAATAATGAGACGTGTAAATTAAGGCATCTGCTTCCTTAAGTCAAAATCACACCACAAAGTTCACTCCAGAGACTCTTCCCCATGGTGAGGCGGAAAAGGAGCATTAGAGCAAGGCCTACCCGAGTTTCTTGACATATTCTAGATAGCCGATGAGGATCTCGTGGTACACTGCTGTCCGTAGAATCCGAGGTCTGAAGAAGTGAATACTGTCAAGGTAGGATATGTAGACCCGTCTGCAGAGGTAGAGAGAGGGAACATGGTACATTTCACTCATAAAAAGTCCTTTATTGCCACGTGGTACACTCAATTGTTGGCTGTACAGACCTAGTGTTGGGGAATGAGCACTCGGAGCCGTACTCCTGCACGTGCATGCCAAAGAAGCACACATCCACGCCGTCAATCTCCTCAAAGGCGAAAAGTGCTTTGGTTCTGTAGGGAAAGGTCTCGGGCATTTCCCCCGTGTCGACAAACCTGTGGTTATGAAGAAAAATCAAATATTAAAATATGATCTCTAGTTAGATGGTGAAACTAGAACACGTTATAATATTCTGTCTTGGGTGATTGCCAGCTAAAACAGATCATGATGGTGTACTCTGAACACAACACAATCCATACAAAAGGTGCCGACTGTGCAAAGCTGTAGCTTATATATATATATATATATGATGGTTTCTGTTACATGGGCGGCTGTAAAGGTATGTTGCCACAAAAACATCTTAAACTCTGTATCATCTTGTATAACACACTACATAAATGTTATATAATAACAGTTTAAAGTTTCTATTTTAGTGCGACTATGAAGCCTTCTAGGAAAAAAAAGAGCCCCGAGAAGTGGCCTCGTGTGTCGCTGCTTTTAGCGACACAGGAGAGCATAATGGGACAGTTCAAGTGAAATGACCGAGAGTCAATAAAAAGAAGACGGCCTTAAATCAGTCAACCTGAAGAGAACATGTTCTCGGGCGAGGGCCTCCTCCCTAAGAGGACGGGACGAGCAGACTTTGATCGTGTGTGAGAGGATCAAACAGTGACCGGTGCTCGGGGAGGGTGTGCACCACAATCAGTACAAAAGGCTTTACAGAGGGCATTCAGCTTTGCAGGGCAGAGAAAAGAAGACATAAGTTCAGGACAAACATGAACTGTGACGGTGGATCACCGACAGGTATTTGGTTGTCTACAACATTATGGCATCCCTCATCTCCACTGTTGACTCTTCGGTTGTTCATTTATTTGACCGAGGCACGTTTAGTTGCTAAACAACGATCCGGTAATTTAAAGTAGAAAGTAATTAAAATGGGTAAACACACCAAAGCGTGCATTACATACACCCAGTTCTCCTCATCTTCCCGTCAGCGACGCTCTCACCTGGATTTCATGCCTGGTTTTACTTCCACCGTTTTGTCAGAGCTCGCCACCACTCGCACAAACACCTCTCCGGCCTCCGGGTGGTTCTGTCTCTTCAAGTATTTATTCACACGGTCCTCTATGTACATTCCCAACCGTGTGGACTGCAGCCCTACAGTGTGCAAACACACAGGAGGAATCCATGAAAAACGGAAATTCTTTTAAACATGATAAAATTTTTTTTAAAAAAGCAGGGGATACACATTGGATACTTAAACTACTGCAGTAGTCTTCAATTTAATTAAAACAAGAAAAAGACAAGAACAGATTTATGTGAGAACCGGCATGTGTGAACCGCGGATGAATTACACAGTTTACTTTCACCATCACAGTGTGAAATAAAGTTTTACTGACATCGTTATCCGCCAATGTTCAGTAAAATATGCGATTAGGACGTCATTCGTGCTTTTCTAGTTGCCGATCTCTGATAATGTTACATCGTAAACAACCAATCCGTGTTGAAAAAGACCGGAGGAGAGCTGGTAACGTGGCTAATGGACAAAGAACGAAGGTTCAGTTCGGTTACATCATGATGCGTTCAGGCTCTGTTCTGTAAAATGAGTATTGGTTTATCCGTTGAACCACCATATGCCATAAAGGTCAGTATTGTTCTCCAGGGCTACAAACACCAAAGAAAAATGCCAGAGAGACCACGAGGCCAACATCAAAAAAAAGGAGAAAAAGCCAGAGACAGACATATGCTGCCCATGTGCGGGGGGGATTTATATTATCTGGGGTCTTCAGTGCTTGTGAGACAAAACTGCAATAATCGGTTTGAAGAGATTTGAACTAACGTTTTGCAGAGAACTTGTTTTCCTTTCGCGTTTTTGCACTCTTCTTTAAACAATTTTCACAGATGAATCTGGAAAGAGAGAAGAGAGAGAAGTTAAGAGTTATTGTTACGATTAACATACATAGAATGTGCAAAAAAAAAAAAAAAAAGTTATGCAAATCTACTAAAAGTAGGAGTCGACAGCTCACCCAGATGGCCAAATGACATCGTAGTGCAAGACGCATATCTGGTGCATCTTCCGTCCACAATCTTTACATTCAACAAACCTAAAGAGAAGCAAGCATACAGTCAGACACTTAGCAACCAAAGCCATTGTGCCTTGGAGAGAGGACATCTTATTTAACACAAAGTCACAATAACGATGTGAACTCATCGGTCAGACAGAGTGTTTGACACGAAGCAGGTGGTGCTGCCGAGCTGCCCCGAGGCCTCACTGAAGCCCGAGTGACTGATCCGAGAGCTCCGGAGAGAAAATGTGCAGATTGTTCACCAAAAGCACAAACATGAAGCCAGATGTGAACGATGTAAGATGTGATGAGGAACATGCAAGTGGGGGGAAAAAAGAAGAGCAGAAAGAACACGACATGAGCTCCGTCTGCATTAGTCCTCCTCGCTGAGAGGGTTTGTGTCTACTTACGGTTCAGAGTCGAGTACGTCGTTCTTCTTCCGTTCAAACTGGTCCTTTGATATCATCCTGAAGTGTCAGAGAAAAGAAAAGAAGAGACAGAGGAGAGTTAGTGAGAACAATAGGACCAATACAAAAAACACTGTTGATTTCTTTTTTTCTATCTTCAGTCCTATGCTCTTCGCTTCTCTCATTGCAGGCCGAGTCTGCGTGGGGGCCACGCTTCAATAAGAACACTACGGCTGTTGAAGAAATACATGCGTTGATTAATCTGAATTGCTTGTATTACATTAGTGGCTTTATCGATAGGCAGTATACTCACGTCTGTGGCTGTGCAGGATCATCCCCCAACGTCACGCTCTCCCCTTGGATCTCATTGAAGCACTTCTCACAGAAATGATACCTGCAAAAATGACATTCAAAATTCAACACATTCAACGCTCACTTAATATTCGGCTACTTGTGTGTTCAACACGAGTCTGCACAAAATAACTTTCATGTTTTATAACAGAGAGCGGGGAAAACCCTGAGCTCCCGTTGAGAGTGTAAATGGAGTGTGCTGCAGGAGCCGCATGTTGTCTGTCAGGCTGTGCTCTATCACTACCGCTTCTGAGCTGCTCTGCTTAACAGTGCCCAGTTGAAGTGTGGAAAAAGGGGGGGGGCTGCAGTAATGCTGTTCATGCAGCAGGGGGTGCAAGGGACTGTGGTGCAGGCAGTCATCTGCTGGATGGATCCGATAGATGCTGAGCAAATCACAATCAACCCACTGCTTTGTTGCTCTGTGCCCAGCGCTCTTCTGGGTTTAAAGTCTTCAGCGTGTTTCCCTGTATGTGCAACACTGGCAACCTGGCTGTTAAGAGATGTTGTTGTGAGCAAAACCATTTTGTAGTCTCTCGCCGTGCCAGGACCTAGAGGTAGAGCCATTAAAGCCGAAGCTGTCAGGATGAGACTACAGGCCCGGATCACAGTGGTCCCTCTAGAGCTGCAGAGGAACAGATCCCGGGCTGCAGGCGGCGCCTAATACGCTTCAAATTGCTGCATTTATTTGCCCGTGAAAACGCTTTGTGAACAACTGTGCATGCAGATTGTGTGACACGTAGAAAATGATTCAGTGAGATTACAATTCCAACAGATTTTATTGAATACGTAGCTGCGTTTACGGCGGAGAAGCACACATTAATGCGTAGACGCCTGTACCTGTTCTGGTAGCTGTAGTATGTGCCTCCAGTAGGTATGGTGCAGAGCTGCTTGCCATAGCAACAGAGGGTTTGAGGGGAGAACTCGTACTGCAGACACAAGCAACATGACAAAGGTGGTGAAAAAAAACAAGGTTTATTCATTTCATAATTCCTTTTCATTAGGAGCTGTTGGTTTAGCGTCTAAATTTGCCTCATCTTTAGTGAACAGTCAAACTCGTACTCATCATTCTGAGTCAAAAAGAGAAGTACTAAACATTGGATTTTTTGTAATTAGGCAACAATTGAACAAAAAAAAAATCCTTTTTGTTACAGCCATTTATGGATAACGGACAAAATACGTTTCCCTACTCCATTTATTGCCTCTTTAACACCCCCTTCAGCTCACCTTCCTCCCGCAGCAGTATCCCAGGCCCTGCATGACGGGGTCGATCTCTGACTCAAACACCTCCGCCAGCTTGGAGCAGTACTTGTAGACGCGGGACGTCTTGCGGTTGTAGAGCCAGGCGTTGTTGAACATCACCCAGACATCGTCAACGTATTGCCAGGGCTCCTGGTATTGGCCTGTGTCAAGCTTACGCTTTATTGTGGACAGGTCTATTGGGTTCTTAACAATGTCAAAGTAGTCCTGCAGAGAGAAGAACACGTATGTGTTAGAGATCAATAGAAATGAAACAGTGCAGCTGAATTACGGGCATCCATCAAAACTGCACAACATTTAACAACATCCCACAGGCAACACATTCGTCATTTCAAAAGGTTGCGTTTGAAGCATTGAAGTGCATGTGTGCTACGTACAGGGATGCCCAGATGCATAGGGTCTACTGGTTGTCTGAAGGGCAGTGACTCGGGGTCCTGCCTGTAGAGAGACTCCAGAGTCGGCATCAGAGCCTGGCGTAACTCCTCGGGCTTAAAGACTGAAGAATGAATAGTGGACGAGGTACGTGTTAGTAATCCAAAAACAGAAACGACACATCAGCAACATCCTGATTCGTCGGGTGTATTCTAGCAGCAGGTGCACAGCCGGTTCATTATGTGTGTAAAGTGCAGCCAAGCTCAAAGAAGCCTTACAAGAGTCTAGACATTGTTCAGAGTCTCCAGTGCCAAACTCATACTAAGTCATGAGCGTCTCACGGCTGACAGAGTGGATGTATTAACATTACTGGCAATGACGGGAACCCGTTTACCCGCGTACTGAGTGGATCGGTCAGACTCTGCACAGATTGTATTCATTCTTGGCATCAGACTCACTTTTCCTCCGTGACTGAGAGGGGGATGAAGAGGCCGTGCTGTTGGCTCCACCCTCTTCCTCTTCTTTGGGTTCTGTCTTCATTTCCGTTTTTTTCTCCTCCACCTCCATGGGCTCCAGCTTCTCCTCTGGCTCCTCCTTCTTAACCACCGTTGAAGCAGAGTCTTCCTCAGTCTATGGACAAAAAAAAGGAGAGTGACCCATTATATAAGAGTCATGTTTTAAAAGTGAACACTATGGAATGTTGGGTGACTGGTAGCACTGGTCTCTCATATTCAAGACTTTGATGATCATCCCATGAAATTGTCCGTGTTGATAATCTAAATACTAAAGATAAAGGAGTGTACTTATACACGTATCACGTAGGTGCAGGTGTATTTTGAAAGCCACATTCGATTAGGCAACGTTTTGAACCAAGTTGAACCTTTTGACTAAGGTGAAGATCTGACTTATCTATTGGAATCAACTTTGAGGCCTGAAGTCAGTGTGCAGGCGTGAAACTTTTCTCAAAATTAAGGATTCACAGATGCAACTTCTCTTGATACAGATTTCATTACCTCAACTGAGGGTATCTGCCGATATTTACGATCCAATAACTGTGCTCTCCTTTTCCCAAATATAACATTTTCATAACTCACTGTGTGAAACTAATTCAATATTTTTTTTATGCATAGTAAACTGAGGCCAACAGCGTGCGAGCTACAACTAGCACACCAGTCAAGGGCCCACTGTGACTGACTGAATGAATGGAAGTGATAAATACAGAACTTGAGAATGACATTGACAAAGAAACTATTTAATGTGGATCGATCACGCCATGGCTGATACAACAAGACCGATTCATTGGAAAGAGAGTGCAGTTTACAGCAGCATAAATCAACGGATGGATAGATAAATCAGTTGACATGTATTTAAAAACACATCGATTCAACCCACCTCCATCTTGGGCTCAGTTTTGCCGCCAGCGGCCTTAAACTCTTGTTGGTCATGGTGTGCCTCAGCTTTGACCTCCTGGACAGGCAGGTCTGCTCCGACGTGCTGCGAGTGCAGGTCGGCACTGGCAGCCGAGGCTGGCGTGGGCACCCGGTTTTCCAGACCGGCCCCTGGTTGAGACAGCTGAAACGGGGGAGGGAGGGATAGAGACAGAAAAGACAAATATGAGGTATTGGCAACGGCTCAATTGCGTTTTTTTTGCATGCAGGGCTGAAGCCACAACACAGATGAAGCCCTCCATATTGGTTTCATTGCTCCGTTGTTGACAGATGTTAACATTCCCATTGTGATGAATGCTACAAGCAGTGGTGAAGATGCAGTTATCAGACAGAAAGGTGGATGGGACGGGTTGGTACATGACAGTCAGAAGGGATGGGAGTTTGGAGGGCATGCTGAGGGTCTCAGTCTCACCGGCGTGGTAGGGGGCTGAGGTGGGGGCTGCTGCGTCTGTGCTGCTGCAGGGAGTTCCACCTGGGGTTGGGGCTGGGTGGGGCGGGGCGGGGTGGCACCCTGGGCGGGGCCAGGGAGGGTGGGGGTGGAGCTGCGGCTAGAGGGCTGGGGGTGCGGCAGGTTAGTGACCCCCCCGGCCGTGGAGGCAGAGGAGGCAGCAGGAGGAGGTGTGGTGTGCAAGGGGGATTGGGAGGAGGATAGCTGAGGGCCCAGCAAGGGGCCAAGTGCATTCATGGGGAGGTTAGCGCTCTGTTGTTGTTGTTGCTGCTGTTGCTGGAGAGAAGGACACACACAAGTGGCAGGCGGACATACGCACAAGATTAGCAGACAAACATACAAGCATAAGGTCAACCAGACAAACACAACACCACCCACAATTTGAGGTTTAGTGAGCACCTTGTGATTGGCATGGGAACAATCTAAGAGCAATTAGTGCGTAGTATGATTGGTGAAAGTAGTTTGAGTTTTAGTCCCCCGAAATTAGCAGAACTTTGTTGAAGGATAGCATTACTGAAAACAGCCAAACCAATCCGTTAACCCACTTTGTTTACTACAGCTCCACAGCCCTCGCCATGTCTCACCTGGGTGACGGCAGCCTGTGCAGGTGGTTGGCCTATACCGGGCCCCACAGTGACAGTCATGGCCCCCGTTGCAGCGGCTGTTGTTGATCCCGGAGGGAACTGGGTCTGAGCCAGAAACTGTCCCTGGCTGGCCGTCTGGCCTACCATGTTGCCACCGCCATGTCCGGCTATCAAGCCCTGGGCCTGGGGCATCCTGGAGGGAGACATGCCCATCTAACAAGGCAAAGGAAAAGATGGCGTTAGTGTGAGCACAGTGACAGGAGTTTCCACTGAGCCGTGGCAGAGACCAATCACATTACTGGCATTCCAGCCCCATAATAATGTACAATGACATTCTTCCATCTACAATACGTGTTTTTGTGTGTGTAACTGGACTTCCCTCCCTTTACAGTCCTTGCATGTTTCACCACATCGAATTTAGGTTGTCCAGAAAAGCTGGTAAAATCCGGACTGATGGCATTATCTTAATTTATTTCATATACCATTAGACATATTTACACATTTAATAACTTCAAATATCACATTATTAGTAATTAGTATTTGCTTTGACTGATTAGTACATGATTGATGAAAGATTAAGGAAATGTGTAGCTCATCACAGATACAGTGGCTTCTTTACTGCGTTGTCCATCTTAACGTTCACCAGCTCCTGACCGGACCAGTCGACTACATTTTAAATAAGCCCGAGGTAGCTTGTGCAGACAGAGCCTGGATTTACCAGCAACTGTGTGTTAGCTCATGCTACTTATATGCCTGTGTGTGTGTGTGTGTGTGTGTGTGTGTGTGTGTGTGTGTGTGTGTGTGTCCCTCTGCTTTCTTTACCGCTGGGACGGAGCTCATGTTCATTTGCTGTGGGTGGTTCATGGGTGAGGCAGCGCGGGCTCCCATCGGTGTCTGGGATATTTGGGCGTTGGGCAGAGCCATGTGGTTGAACTGGTTGATTCCTGTACGGAACAGGGGACCAAAATGTTAAGCCATGGACAAACAGAACTCAGAAGTACTACACAATCAAAGATAGTGGTGAAAGTTTATACATCAAAAAACATGCATACATAAACTTTCAGTTCAAGTTATACCAAAGCAGATGTCATTTTTCAAGCGGCTTAAGCTACACAGTTATGTAGTATGTATGCTAAAGTACGTCCTAGGTGCAGTAGAAGGCATCTTTTAACACAACACTAACTTTTGTCTCTTCCCTGTGCTTGTTTGCCTTTCATGGAATCATCAGTTAATGTGTTCTGCTTCATTCAGACTTCCTGATCATGTTTGGCGAGTATTTGTCCCCGAATCATCTTTACTGTTCCTCTTCATTTGTACATCTTCCACATCTTTGTTTTTCGTTGTATCTGAATTGGAAAATACGGTGTGCAAATACCTTGTGACACCTGCATGCGATTCATGATCTGATTTGGCATGTTGGGCAGAGGAACAGGTCCATCTATAAAACAAAAAGAAAAAAAACAAACATTAAACCATAAAGCAGCTTGAAGAACAGCACAGCCGGATGTAATGAAAAAAGGCAAATCATTTCTGCTGCATGGTTAAATATTCTCAACTTTTTCCAAGAATACAAGAAATCGAACATGATAAATGGCTGGATATACAGCAATTGTCTGGAAATTCAATTTAGACACCTACGCATACTCTAAAGATAAAATACCCAGATGAGAATATTCATTAGTCAGTGAATAAATTATCTGACAAATCAAGAAACCACAGATATTTAAAAAAAGGTAGACAATAGCAAGATCTCTTCAGGTTATTGGTATCACTATGACCCAACCATAGCTGGGTAATATGTCAACTCATTCTTTTTAATAACAAAAATGGAAACAAACTGCATATATTATCAGGAATATCAAGGACGCAAACGGTTGTCCAAGGTTTCTGAATCTCGTCCCGTTTCAAAAATGTTTGTCGTCTTGTAAACACTGCACTCACTCTGTGGCCTTGGGCCAAAGGCACTGGGCTGGGGGAGGCCGGGCTGCTGGCTCCCCTGGGTGGCCAGAGGTGCCTGGTTGATGATTTGCTTCTGCAGCCTTGAGCGCCTCTTCTCCTCCAGTTCCTTTTGGATTTTATAGATTTTCTCAGCCAGGAAGTGATAGTACTCATCCTGAGGGGAGGAACGGGGAAAGTGGAAGGAGGCGGTAAATTTGACAAAAAAACGAGCATACTGTGTATCTACTAAAAAGAAAAACGGCTTTGTGTGTGTGTGGTCTAGATAAGGTGAGCAAGGTATTTCCTAGTTGAAACCTACCCGGCTGTTAGCTGACTCGTACATGTCCCCCTCCACTTTTCTGGCGTAGGCCACCAAGTTCTCCATCCGTCTGTCCTTCAAAGCTGCCGGGTCGGGGGTAGGGAATATGGCTTGTACTCTGCCACAAGGAGTACAGAAATTGCAGCAATGAATATTTAATTTCTACTACTGTACTTAAAAAAAAAAAACAACAACAATGTACATTTACAATCAGGGTCAGAAAGAACAGCCAAGATACGGTGACTAACAAATAAAGACACCAACAAGTCTGACAGTTCTCCAGTAGGGCTGTGCACTTACAGTTTGTGTACGAGGTGATTGCGCAGGTCCTGAGTGACATGCTCATGCCACGATTTCCTGGTGCCTGTGGCAGAGATGGGTGCTGCTGTGGGCAGGCTGCCCAATGAGCCCATAGCTGACCCGTCTGACAGCAGCTGACTGGAGGCGAAACAGGACGACAGAAGTTACGGCTTATATTTCTGTTTTGAAATATAGGTTTTATTGTGTTTTTTTCAGGCAACTGCACTCATATTTGCATCAGGACCTTTTTAAAAGTAGCTACATAAGGTTTCTTGCAATTAAATAAACATTTAGGATCAACAAATGCAATGCAGGCGTTGGCTGGGACTGACTTGTTAGTGTTGAGTGTGTTGGGAAGGGAGTCTGTGTGCAGGTTCGTCTGTTCTGAAGTGGTCACGGACAGTGCTGCACCTCCAAGAGTCATCTGGTTACCTGTGAATACAGAACACCGATTAAACAACTACTCCTTGAATTAAAAAAAAATTCAAATCGAGCTCAGCATATACAATATGGCCGCCATTTATACAACTAAAGCGTACTATGTTACTAAACAACAAAAAACATAAACATACATTTCTGACCCATTTAGGAGCCTTGAAGTTGGCTATGCAGTGTGGGACTGCAACTAACGACTTCTTTCATTGTCAATTTAGCTGTCAATTACTTTCCTAATTTATCGATTGGTTGTCGTCATTAAAATGTCGACAACTCAGTTATTCTGTTTACTGTCACGACTGAGAGAAGAGACCAACAAATATATACATTGAAGAAGCTGGAATAAGAGAATTTTGACTTTTTATACTTAAAGAATTACTCAACCTGATTGACTATCAAAATAGTTGCCAATAATTTAACAGTTAACAACTAATCAATTAATTGTTGCAGCTCTAGTGCTGTGCATTCACACATGCTGTGCATATCGATCAATATATACATTTGTATATTTTAGAAAGGAACCAATATTGGAAGGTTTCTAAAAGTGTAGGGATAAAAAAATCAAGTTGTTTGGTTTTACCAAGTGCATTGATGGATCTCAACTGCGGAAGCTGTTGCTGGGCATTCTGTGCGCCTGCCGTCTGTCCGGGGCCTCCCGGGGCCCGCCCAGTGGTCTGGCTGCTGTAAGGCAGCCCAAGTGCCTCGTAGGCTCTCTGCATGGAGCTGGGGTCTATGGGGGTTGAGGTATTGATGGTGGGAGCACTGGGCTGGCCCACACCAACTGAGGACATGGGGTTCTGGAGGCCCGTACTGGGGGAGCTCAACATGGCTGGAGAGAGAGACGGAGCAGTCAGGCCAAAAAACACTCAAACGCAATCATATTCACATAATCACATAATATACAATTTGAAATGTTGGAACATCTTGCTCACTGCCGCACCAGCTAAAGAACGCAAACAAAATGCAAATGTTGATGCTGTGTGCCAAGCCCAATAAATATGAGAAGAATCTGCTTTTTAAAAACACAGCGACAAGACTTGGCGAAGACCTAGAAACGAAACACACATGCCTACACACTTTGACCTCTGGCAAGATGAAGTCACGTGGCAAAACAATACATAATGTAAGGCTAAACCATTTACAGAGCAGTGAACTGAATAAATGCATTAATCCCTTCAGGGGACAGAGCATTAGCATATTTTTCTGGGTTCAGGCTTTGGTCGGGCTAAAGAAAATCTCTTGGTTTGTGAAAAGACAAAAATTGGAGGAGGAAGGGTAAAGAAATACTGCGTTCTGCTTGTGTTGGCAGGAGAGGCAAGCCTCTGCATCATGTTCTTTAACATGCAAGCCAAACAGGGACAGACTAACTCTGGAATGCTGTAAGTGATGAAAGATGCTGAGCAGAGAGGTGACGTAAAGAAATAGAAAACAAGCAAGAAACAATGAGAGAGAAAATGGTAACTGGTTTAAGTAATCCGGAAAAGATGGCCGGGCACAAAAGAACAGACTGTGAATCTGTGACAACAGTTACATGAAGAGAGTGAAAAAACAGAACAGAAAGAAAAACTGTTTTAGTGCGAGGCAAAGAGTGTCAAATTCGACTGTGCTCTAGAGGGGAGTAGCAGTAAACAGCCAATGGCTCAGCAAGACGCCTCTAGCACACGCTCTCTGTCTCCCCCCCCTCCCTCCATCACACTCCTTTCTTTATTATGTATCAGATTACAAGCCCAGCAGGACCACTCGTACTCACCGAGTGCTTTTAGTAAATGTGGAGGAGCAATGAATTCCCTGAATAGTAAAACATACAAATAGCCAACACGTAAACATAGAGATCAAACAGCCGACCAGTTTTCAGCTGATTGTCCGCATCAGTCTCAAATGTTGCCAGTCACATTTACATACATGCGCTGCAGGATAGTTTTACGTTGGCACACAATACAGTAGCGCCACAGCCACACGCACGCGACTATATACAGCTGTATTGTAATTCATTCCAAACATGCCGCTCAGCGTAATTACAACGAGCGGCTCAGAGTGGGGCGAGACAGCTAAAGGTAAGCGAGGTTGAATTGACTTGCATTTTGGTGCGTTCAAGCACTATTGAAATTAAATTATAACAACACCATCATGATGTGTTCAAATGTAATCTTGTCAAAATGTCGGTTTTTGGCGAGAACCTTGAATAAGTAGTTGATTGAAGATGCTTTCTAAGAGGGGAATTACGACCTGTTTAACATCCCAACACGAGCTCTAAGCAGCTTAGAAAACATAATTAAAATCTACTAATGACAAGATTTTTCTCTTGCATACAATCAATAATGTTCTAATTATTTGAATTGTTTGTTTTTCATGCAAATAACCAGTATAGATGATAAAAACACCGACATTGATTTGGTTCAAAGTATTCTCCCGGACGGTGGTAAAACTGGTCCTGAGCATTGCTGTCAATAATAGTGAGAAAGAAAATCTGGATCGGCCAAGAACAACACAAATCGGTGCATCTTTGGCTAATTTCAGGAAAGCCACAAGCAGGTGGAATTCTTTCTGAGGCTGTCACTATGGACTACTAGAACTCAATCTACCAGCATGATCTGGAGATAAACACGGGGGCCTTTGTCAGACAAACACAGAGCTTGCCATGTCGAGATGTCCTGCTTATTCAGCACAGTCAATGGAAGTAATTGAGCCTTGCGTTTGGCGTCTGTGCTGCGCTGAGCGACTCGACAATGGTCAAGAGACAGCGGGCCCCGAGCCTGCTGCTTGTACTCACGTTGCTGGGCGCGCTTGTCGCTGGCGTTCTTCAGCGGCAGGCAGACGGGACAGTCGTGTCGTGTGCAATTTTTCCAGTGGGAGATGATCTGTCTGGACGACGCACAGTGAGCCACTGCAAGGAGAAAAAAAGAGACAGAAAGATAAGAGACTTAGAGGGTTCGGTATTTTAATGCCGACAGTTTGCCACCAAGCACTCAACTCTAGGGAGAGGACTTTGTTTTTCTTATATGCCCCAAAGTCTACAGTCCACAGTTATTTCAGAAGCAGAGATCCTGAGTCAGAGGAAATGAACAGAGACTTTGACTCCTTCACACATCTTGGCCTCGGAGTTGGTTTGGCATGAAATTTAACTTAAGCATTCAAGTCCAGGGCCAGAGCAAGACATTAAAACAAGTATAAATGAAAGTAGCTTGAGGTGATTTTGATTACAGCAATGCTGGTGGTTTAACAGCAGACAGACGCACAATATCACCATTACAGAGAGACAACATAGGGGAGAAACAGCACACATGCAAGTGGGCAAGCAGGTAGGAGGCGAGTGTTATTAGAATGGATGGAAATCCCCAAAGTATGAGCAACAAGGGGTTAAGGGAAACATTTTCATGGCCATGAAGGTAAAAATTCACAAGCCATTAAGTGTCTTTCCTAGATGAAATATAGGAATAGTCCACGTGCGTTATACTTGTCATTTGGTTGTCGAGTTTTAATCTTCACTGTCCAATCTCAACATCCAGTGAACACGATTGTCCCATTACGGGAATCCTTTTCTATGTTGACGAAATTTTTCTCACCATATGTTTTTCATTGCTTGCTGGTTTAATCTGTTGTTTTCTGACTGTGGGAGGTGTAAAACCCATCCATACCATGACTAAAAGACTATATAAACATCATATATTATGCAGCCTTTAATTTTAATATTTGTATTTAATTTTAATTGATAAAATTTGACAGACATTTGTTTTCATTTGCTCCTTTATTTATTTATCTTTGTATTGATTCCTGTATTATCTACATTCATTTATTATTACATTATTTACATTTATTTAGTCATTTCATTTGAGTATCTATTTATTTATGTATTTATTAATGTATATGTTATTTTTCCTCCTATTTATTTTCCTAAACTTATTTCTGTATTCTTTTCTTTATACATAGCTAGCTAACACTGTCTGCTTATCAACTCCAGCCTTCATCCCCGGCAAAGCTGGAGACTTTACACCAGATCCAGATTATAACCATATTATATTTGTTTACTTTGTCAAGAGTGCAATGAACATTGATTGGCGGCTAGAAAGAACTGAGTTTATGTTGTGTTAAACCTTTAATCATGTGACCACACAGCAGCAAATTCTTAAACAGCAAAAAGGGGGAGTGGACTTCAGAAAAAGTTTTCAATTTCAACTTTTCCGATTGCTTCGAAATGCTCCGACTCACCCTGGCAGGACTTGCCGGCCTGGCAGTGGGTCATGTGGTTGAGGACGTTCTTCATGGTGCGGCAGTGAGGCAGGGCGCAGGCTCTCACCTCCCCGTTGGCCTGCTCCCGCCGCTGGCACTTGTGCGCGTGAAGCAGCAGGACCAGCTGCTGCTGGATCAGCTTGCGCTTCTCCGGGTCGGCTGTGGGTACGGCCGAAGACACCGCCACACCGGCCAGCGGGAGCATCGCCGCCTGCTGCTGAATGGACGACAAAGAAAATGACAAATGTCAAAAGTTGTAATGGGTTACACGTTTTTCTTTGGGCTTGCAAAGCTGTCAATGTCACAACACTGCCCACCCAAAGAATTTGAAATATGCAGCAATTTCAGCTTCAACATGTGTTAAGTGTAGAGTATGGTTAGTACTGAAACACTGATTATAGAAGGACATTGGCATGTCCATTTGTGGATATGCCAATGTCAGAGTTTATAAATAAAGTAATTAAAATATTAATGTTATGTATTTCTTACTGTTCCACCAGTTGTTTTTCATTTACATTCCACTGCTCTCTGAACAGCTAACTATCTGAAAATCATGGGCCGCCATTAGCAGAACTGAATCAGACTCTGCATTCTTTAACAGCAAACAGGCACAGCTATTAGAAGTCTTGATGTTATTGTTTACTTGCAGGTAATTATTATTCACCCACATTAGTCAAAACAGCACAAACTTCCCACCAAAGGTTCTGCCTTTATGTCAATGCCAATGTGTCACTACAGGACCCCCTCTGGTGATGCAGGCCCTATCGGAGCTGTGCCAGGGAGACTGTGCTCGGTTCGATCTAGAGCAGCCGATGCTCTGGCACCGGGACAGCTCAGCGTGACGCGAGCTTTTGGCAGGATGGACTTCTACAGCGCTGCACGACAGAAACATTTACAACCTCTCCTCCCACTCCCTTCTCAAGCTAGTCCTTGTAGAGTTTGAGACCAGTGGAAACATCAGAAACAACAGAGTTAAAAACATTGCAGTAGGTGGGTAACTGAGCCCCCAGATAAATTCTGTTCTTTCTTGGCAAAGTGTTTTTTCATTCGCCACTTTGACCAGAGGTTATTCGATTTCTCAGCTGATTAGGGCTCATACATTAACTTCCTACACTCACAGCAATATGTACCATGAGAGTTTTAATTTATTTATTTTACATGACTTTGCATCTGTCTATATTGTGATAAATATCGATACTGTCAATTTATTCTTATTCATATAATGATCCTGATACCAAACATATTGCTCAGCCCTATACAGGATAATAGAAATCTGTTAGCCGTTGTAACAGATTTAAATATAATTTTTATACGTATACTAATGTAGCTTACCCTTTAATATCTATGGTTGCATTCAAAGTATCGCAATATTTTGTGCGGCAATACTGTATCAATACACGGACGCCAACTATTATCCGGATGTTGATCCGTACAGATTAATTACAGTTTAACGTTATCAGTGTGAAAAATTGTTTTACTGGCGATCGTTATCCGCCAATGTTCAGTAAAATATGCGATCAGGATGTCGGCATTTATGCTTTTCTAGTGACCGATCTCTGACAATGTTACATTGTGAACAACCAATCCGTGTTTAAATTGACAGGGGTAGGAGCTAGTAACGTTAGCAGCATTGCTAATGGCCAATGAACAAAGGTTCTGTTCAGTAACATTATGATGCGTTCAGGCAAGGTAAACGTTATCATGATGTGTTCACATGTCATATTTGCTGATCAAATACGTGTTTTAAGATGAGTTTTATGATCCGTTGCACCACTATAGTTTCTACACAGAGTTTACACTTTTTTTTATCAATTAACTTTTTAAACACACACACACAGAGAGAGAGAGAGAGAGACAGAGAGAGAGAGAGAGAGAGATAATACTCACATAGCCCACCCTCAACAAGAACCATGACAGCATCCATTAAGATGTGAGGCACCATAAAATAAGTGTTAGTACCAAGCTGCACAGACACACTGATCAACTGGCGCTCTCTCATCCACAAAGCTGCTGGGAGACCAGACCAGACTCTGCCAGGCCAGGCTGTATCCCCTCAGGCTGTTGACACCGCTCCAACAGACCAGATAAAAAAGACCCAGCTGAGTCGACTAGACACTGGCAGCCTTTCAACACAGCTGAGCAGGCGGACACACAAAGTTGCACACACACACGTGCACAGATGCACACACCCTTTGCTTTGCGCTTCCTATTCAGCCCCCCCCGACACACTCCACACATCGGCAGTCAGGACAGTTGCCAACTATCATCTCAAAGCTCTGCTGCCAGGCCAGACTATTCAGCTGAGACTCCCCTCCCTCCCTCCCTTCCTCATTGCACTCGCCCTCTGTCATTCTAACTGATTAAGTGGTTTACAATGCCAGTCCCTAAGTGACTGACAGGGCAAGCAGCCACCCAATAAGCCAGAGAAAGTGAGGGGAGTGTTCGTGCATTTACAATAACAAAGGAGCGTGGGGCAGGAGGGATCGGCAGTGGTCTCTAACCAACACAGATGCCCAGAAAGAGATTTAATTAACCTACAATTAAAGCACAACGGAGGAAGTCACACAGAAAGACTTGGTCTAGTGGTTTTCATCTCTAGAGCTGTTGGTGACATGATAATCACAGCTTATAACACACACACACACACACACACACCTTTTCCTGCAAATGCTGACAGTCCTGCTTCTACATCAGTTTTTATTCTTTCGTGTGGTTAAAGTATGTGCACACACTCTATTTAAGAATGAATCCTCGAAACACACATTCACTATCTGTCCAGGTTTCTTCTCAGTAGCTTGCAGCATCTGTGTATGTGTTGTGGTTACATACCGCTCCAGTGTCTTGGCTCCGACAGACAGTAAAATAGATGGCTTCCTACTGATTTCCTGTGAAACCACATTGGTGGAAAGCATACGTATAAGCAGCCAAAGACAACACAAACTCTCACACACATCATTTAGAGTCCCAAGACGCATCACGACGACGACTCAACAGTTGACGGCAATATCTATTGGCTCAGTACCAAAACACGAGCTCAGAAAATGAGCGGACAGGGAGAGAAGAGAAGAGAAGTGCAGATGAACCGACAGAGTGTACAAACACAGACGCGCACACACGCACACACACACACACACACACACACACACACACACACACACACACAC